CTCATTGACTCCTCCCCATGACTTTCTGTCTCATACCCAGAGTCCACGGTCTCATTCCCACGACATTTTGTCTCATTCCCAGTACTCATTGACTCCTCCCCATGACTTTCTGTCTCATACCCAGAGTCCACGGTCTCATTCCCACGACACTTTGTCTCATTCCAAGAGCTTGTTGTCTCAGTCTTAGAGCATTCTGTCTCGTTCCCAGAGCTCACTGTCTCTCTTATTTACACGACCACATTTCTTTTCATTCCCACGACTTCTCGTTAATACCACGAGACTTTACGACTCGTTTTCTTAATATTTAGTACTACATGGTTTTTTTTATGCCAGGTATTTTCACGAACTTTTGAACTTGTAAACTATATTGAAGAAAACGGACGGCGTGACTTTGGAATTGTAATGGAAAATTCAGGAAATCGGATTTCACTCTGAAAAGGAATGATGTACAATATATAATAATCTGAAAAAGTACACCGCCCATGATCAATATGACCATAGGATAGGAACATTCATTTACCAATACTTTCCTCAATTGGCAACCTAGCTTTTACCTTTGGCGTTGAGCACTGCATCATGTTATGGGTTCTGTTCTGCTTTTACCTAGACAATCAGAGTACAAGTTAATAACAGGCCTACGCGTGTATTTTGATTTCAATGACACTCGACTTGAATGACATAATTACGCACGTAGGTAATTGACGGTAATTTAATACATCACACGACTAATCACAACATTTATGGTAAGGGGTTATAACAGTGTAATCCTTATGTTTATTCTATGTATTGAGTATATGAGATATGTGACCCGGCTGTCAGATAAACATTGACCCATCAATCAATCAAGAATGACGTCATCAACCTTCTCTGATTCTTGCGGCAGCCAATACATTTCTTATTTTTGTTTCATTGCTATTGCGAATACAGACATAAATAATTGAACAAGCCTAATACATCTGCATTGTTCAAAGAACATTTTGGAACTTCCAGATTTGAAAGTCTTTCAGCAACGAAAAGTAAATCGAAAATCAAACGGTAAAATGGTATACATATTTAAACAAAACTTTAACAAGGTAAGAATATTCATGAGGTCGATTACAATTAGTTTCAATCAAAGTATTCAAATAAACTATTTATTTTTTTATAGCTTTTTGTTTTCCCGTGACATTTCGGAATAATAATAATAATAATAATAATAATAAAAAAAAAAACAAAACGAACTTATGACATTTGGGAATAACAAAAAAGAATGTCGTATCTTTATCAAAACAAGTTTGAAAAAAAAACTTTGGATAAAAGCAGAAAGTACAGCTCCACAGGAATGTACATGATTTGAATCCTACCAATGCCCACTAACACATTATGTGGTATATATCTATAATAGGGATTCATATCTTGTAAATGACGCTTGATGCCGTGCCTTCTTCCTTTTATCAGAGACGTATATAACACATATTATGTTATATACGTCTCTGCTTTTATTTATCAGTATTTCTTTCAGTTGTGGTTTGAGAATGTGACGTTTGTCGTGCGTCAATTCCACAAAGATATAAGTGTTCTGTCACAGATTTGTCAATCTAAAGAATGTTGTAAGGATTAGTTTTGATAAGTTTTGCTAATGCTTTTTGAAATAAATAGGTAACGATAAGTTATTGTAACATCGCAAACACCACATGGTCTCGTATTGGAGGCAGCATTTTTGGCGAACTCATTGGAATGTAATGTAGATGAAAGCTGACTCAAAACGCAGTCGGAAAGTCGGAACGTATACTAGGCAACACATTATGTTCGTTGATACTTTATGTTAATTTCTTGACAACGGAAAGATATAGTTTTGCAACGTCGGCCTAAACGAGATGACCTTAGCTGACATTGATCTATACCTAGTGTGAAGCATCTGTTTCAACATAAGTAAGTGACCCTGTTTCTGATTTCATAAAAAAAAGATAGTTGAAATGCCTCCCGTGAAATAGATAGCTGAGTTTCCCGACCAGTTATGAATGACCTTGTGGAAGTCTTCTGTCTTATACACTTGTTTAGATAAAAAAAAATCATCAATTTTTCAAAGCCACAAGGTTGCAGTCAACTGCCTATTGTGATCGGGGAATTCGGTAGGGTAACAAATGACGATAAACAAATCTGTCCAGAGTGCTGAGTCCCTCTTTCCAATTTTCTTTAATTTCCTTTTCGAAACTTTTTATACAAAAGAGTTCCAATATAAGTAAAACTAAATGCTGAATCATACCTAATCCAGTGAGCGAAGGAGCAATAAGACCAAGCAATTATCTCCCATCACTTCACCCATTATATATATATATATATATACAACACTATGTATGCTTTCAATGAATAAAAAAAAATAGTTAAATAATATAAATGACTGCACTGTGTTGTCATTTCTCTTACCTTAAACCTTACCTTTTATGTTTTATATCGGTACTTTGTCATGACATCGGATGTTGACATGACTACTAGTCAGTTGGAATGCGGAATGTATTGCCATTTTCCCCCATTCAATATTTCCATGCCATCTCTCTTTTCCAGTATTTACGCCCCTTGTATACATATTATTGTATTTTAGTGTGTCCAGTTGTTTATTTTTTATTCCAAATGAATAACGTCTTGTTTGTATCTATACTTTCTTCACTTTATGAGGTGCGTTATCTTGCAATATTGTTTTTGTTGTGTACTGATTGTACTTAATATAGTGATATATTTTTGCCGGTGAGAGTTACTCGCCCGTCAGATTTGTATTTTCATAGCATCTGCCATAATTTTATTAATTACTTAATTTTTGGCTTTATGTCATCAATAGCTCACGCGGATTTTTTGACTACTGATAGTTTTTCATTAATTTTGTAAATTTTAGTGTGAAGTTGACACCATGTCGGCCCCTTAGTGGCTTACCTGTGTCACGGTTCAGTGACTCCGCACGCGTTTGCCGACAACCTTACCTATATTATTTATATCGTCATTTGTTTAAGTTTCATTTGGTAATACAGAGTGCATGCTTTTCTTGTTCGTTTCGAAGCAATTGTGCATGTGCTGTTGTTTTGTGTTCATTTATTTTAAACCTAGTGTTCCATTTTCGTATGAATTTTAATTTCAATCACTGAAATGGATAATGACAAAAATAAAATTAATCTTATAACTTCGAATTGTTATGGTCTGTAGTTTCGAACGAAGCAATATGAGCGATTTTGTTCACAATCGTAATATTATGGTGGCTGATTCGGGACATCGTGATATCTCTTCGTTTAATGGGAAGCGATATTGCGATATCACGATAGCACGATGCGATATCACGATAGCACGATGCGATACCACGATAGCAAGAAGCGATAACACGATAGCGTGGTCTGGCATCGTGCTATCGTGATATTGCAATATCGCTTCCCATTAAACGAAGCGATATTACGATGTCCCGAATCAGCCACCATATTATATAGATACTGTAATGTTACAAGAGATTTGTGTTTTCTAATTTGACTGCTGGTTCCAAGATTGAACGCATTTAGTGTGTGTTTCACATTTTCTATGAATTATGTTTATCGTTACAAAAGCTCATCTTGGAATAAAACCGTGAATGATTACTGGCTAGTTAAATATAATTGAATAAAAAATAAACAAGTCCACTGTAACATTTTACTGCGTTGCGATGATAAAACCTTTAATAAAAAGTGAGAGTGTAATAAGTAAGTCTGCATTTCTCGATGTTCCAATCACCCGACCGGTTTAATCACTAATTTGTCTAGCCTGTGTTGATTACTTTAATAATAAGTAGGCCCTGATCAAAAGTGAATGTCGAGAAAATCCCATTTTCATATTCAAATAACTCATTTAAATATATTGTTCAATTTGGACAAAGTGCCTTTTAAAATCACCCTTTTCAAAGCAAAATCACGCTCACCGTCTCCCTTTGGTGCATTTCTTTTATGGGTGTCACAAAAGCGTGTTTAAAAAACGTCTTCAAATAGAAGACAAATGTGATTTTCCTGGCAAGCCTCGGTTGTCACATGAACAAATCTCCCTGAAAGGGTTTTCTCCTAATCTCTGGACCTACTCGATTCTATGAATGCGGCCGTGCTAATTGCATTACACTATTATACTGAAGGTTTAAAAAAAAAAAAAAGCTATTGCGGGTTCTTGTGGGCGCATGTCAACTGTGTCGAAATTTCATGGTATTTGTGAATGAATTTTCCGTTATTGACTGTACAAAAAGTTAAACTATATGAAGTATGTGATTCTGTCTTTAAATTCGTTAATTTAACTTCTAACTGCACCCTGTCGATATGATCAGGGACGTGTATTATACGTCCCTGATATGATGTATGATCTAGGACTCCTGAGTATGAATGTCAAGGTGTGTCTATTTAGATTGGTTTAACTTGACATGTTGGAAATAACCTCGAGACATTGACGATCATGACAGGTGTTTGTTTTCGGCTGACACAAATGAAGTTCGCGGACGGTGGAAGAAAGTCACTATAGATCAGTTTCGAACAAATTGATATAACGCACTTTAGAGTAAATGGTATCTTGTGTGGAAATGGAGAGAGAGAGAGAGAGAGAGAGAGAGAGGGAGGGAGGATAATACCTGTGAACATATACAGGTTTTCTTTCGTTCCTGGTTATGCAATGTTGAATTTTGAAACTCACAGGAAAAAATCAAACTGTCATGGGTAATTTAAAAAAATTATGAAAATATAATTTCTGTTTCTCCAGAGAAGTACTTGATGGATCTTTCTCAAAAATTTATGTACCTTCCTATTTGTCCTTTTACATATTTCGTTGGGAAATGACCTAGCAGGCAGTAATGTTGAATTAAAGCTGAAGTAAACACATACATATTGGACAGGCAAGGTCCCTCTTACATATCTAATTAAGAAAAGAAAAAAAAAGTTTGTTTGGGTAACACACGTAGATTAAAAGACACACAGATAAACAGATATTGAATGAAGAATAATTTATTTCACAAAGTAACATAAATCATACAGGGATAAAATAGATACAGATCTAATATTGCTTCAACATATATACTTCCCTACTTTTACAACATCATGTTATCACCGGCTGGTCAAAAGTCCTTTGTAACAAGAGACATTGGTTAACACCATTATATGATAGTATCTTGAACACTTTTCAGAGTATCTATGTTGTAAGCCAACTCAACAATCTGCAGTCTGGTATGTTTGATCTCAATAATAATCCACCACGTAAATTATGATGTCCAAAATCATGTCTACTTAATGATTTCGAAACTTTTATATTGCTTCTGTGTTATCGTTTGTTCATCTTTGAAAATGCATCTATCAATTCTTGACTGAGGACTTCCTGTTTTCTTCAGCCATCTTTTCCTGCAAAAGGTAAAACATCCATTGTAAATTCACAACAAGGGCTGTGCTCAGCATCACACAGTTCCTAAAATGTCATATCTCTCTGCCTTCATCCTTCTTCCCTCTATAAAACCTTGCTATGTTATATGTATTTGGGGCCTTTCCCTGAACCTTTCTGTGCAAGTGTACAGTGAGCCTACCCCTCTACCACACCATTTACATTACATATATTGGAAGGCCACACATCTCCTTTATGCTTTGTAATGCGTATTGGGTGATCACTTTTACCCTACAACATTCAGTGTAATGTATAATGAGGGACCATTTCCAATGCCTTTCTATACTGTATGCACTTGGGGACCACCCCTTTCCTTAACCTTTCAATGTTACAAGTATTGTGAAACAGCACCTTACTACACCTTTATATGTAATGTATATTGGGGGACCAACTCTCTCCTACACCTTTATATGTAATGTATATTGGGGGACCACCTCTCCTACACCTTTATATGTAATGTATATTGGGGGACCACCTCTCTCCTACACCTTTATATGTAATGTATATTGGGGGACCAGCTCTCTCCTACACCTTTATATGTAATGTATATTAGGGGACCACCTCTCCTACACCTTTATATGTAATGTATACTGGGGGACCACCTCTCTCCTACACCTTTATATGTAATGTATACTGGGGGACCACCTCTCACCTACACCTTTCTATGTAATGTATATTGGGGGACCAGCTCTCTCCTACACCTTTATATGTAATGTATATTGGGGGACCACCTCTCCTACACCTTTATATGTAATGTATACTGGGGGACCACCTCTCACCTACACCTTTCTATGTAATGTATATTGGGGGACCAGCTCTCTCCTACACCTTTATATGTAATGTATATTGGGGGACCAGCTCTCCTACACCTTTATATGTAATGTATATTGGGGGACCAGCTCTCTCCTACACCTTTATATGTAATGTATATTGGGGGACCACCTCTCTCCTACACCTTTATATGTAATGTATACTGGGGGACCAGCTCTCTCCTACACCTTTATATGTAATGTATATTGGGGGACCACCTCTCCTACACCTTTATATGTAATGTATATTGGGGGACCAGCTCTTACCTACACCTTTCTATGTAATGTATATTGGGGGACCACCTCTCTCCTACACCTTTATATGTAATTATACTGGGGGACCACCTCTCACCTACACCTTTATATGTAATGTATATTAGGGGACCACCTCTCTCCTACACCTTTATATGTAATGTATACTGGGGGACCACCTCTCTCCTACACCTTTATATGTAATGTATATTGGGGGACCACGTCTCTCCTACACCTTTATATGTAATGTGTATTGGGGGACCACCTCTCTCCTACACCTTTATATGTAATGTATAGTGGGGGACCACCTCTCTCCTACACCTTTATATGTAATGTGTACTGGGGGACCACCTCTCTCCTACACCTTTATATGTAATGTGTATTGGGGGACCACCTCTCTCCTACACCTTTATATGTAATGTATATTAGGGGACCAGCTCTCTCCTACACCTTTATATGTAATGTATATTGGGGGACCACCTCTCTCCTACACCTTTATATGTAATGTATATTGGGGGACCACCTCTCTCCTACACCTTTATATGTAATGTATATTGGGGGACCAGCTCTCCTACACCTTTATATGTAATGTATATTGGGGGACCACCTCTCACCTACACCTTTATATGTAATGTATACTGGGGGACCAGCTCTCTCCTACACCTTTATATGTAATGTATATTGGGGGACCACCTCTCCTACACCTTTCTATGTAATGTATATTGGGGAACCACCTCTCCTACACCTTTATATGTAATGTATATTGGGGGACCACGTCTCTCCTACACCTTTATATGTAATGTATATTGGGGGACCAGCTCTCTCCTACACCTTTATATGTAATGTATACTGGGGGACCAGCTCTCTCCTACACCTTTATATGTAATGTATATTGGGGGACCTCCTCTCCTACACCTTTATATGTAATGTATATTGGGGGACCAGCTCTCACCTACACCTTTCTATGTAATGTATATTGGGGGACCACCTCTCTCCTACACCTTTATATGTAATGTATACTGGGGGACCATCTCTCCTACACCTTTCTATGTAATGTATATTGGGGGACCACCTCTCTCCTACACCTTTATATGTAATGTATACTGGGGGACCAGCTCTCTCCTACACCTTTATATGTAATGTATACTGGGGGACCAGCTCTCTCCTACACCTTTATATGTAATGTATATTGGGGGACCACCTCTCTCCTACACCTTTATATGTAATGTATATTGGGGGACCACCTCTCTCCTACACCTTTCTATGTAATGTATATTGAGGGACCACCTCTCTCCTACACCTTTCTATATAATTTATATTGGGGGACCAGCTCTCTCCTACACCTTTATATGTAATGTATATTGGGGGACCACCTCTCTCCTACACTTTTATATGTAATGTGTACTGGGGGACCATCTCTCTTCTACACCTTTCTATGTAATGTATATTGAGGGACCACCTCTCTCCTACACCTTTCTATATAATTTATATTGGGGGACCAGCTCTCTCCTACACCTTTATATGTAATGTATATTGGGGGACCACCTCTCTCCTACACTTTTATATGTAATGTATATTGGGGGACCAGCTCTCTCCTACATCTTTATATGTAATGTATATTGGGGGACCACCTCTCTCCTACACCTTTATATGTAATGTATATTGGGGGACCACCTCTCTCCTACACCTTTATATGTAATGTATATTGGGGGACCACGTCTCTCCTACACCTTTATATGTAATGTGTATTGGGGGACCACCTCTCTCCTACACCTTTATATGTAATGTATAGTGGGGGACCACCTCTCTCCTACACCTTTATATGTAATGTGTACTGGGGGACCACCTCTCTCCTACACCTTTATATGTAATGTGTATTGGGGGACCACCTCTCTCCTACACCTTTATATGTAATGTATATTAGGGGACCAGCTCTCTCCTACACCTTTATATGTAATGTATATTGGGGGACCACCTCTCTCCTACACCTTTATATGTAATGTATATTGGGGGACCACCTCTCTCCTACACCTTTATATGTAATGTATAGTGGGGGACCACCTCTCTCCTACACCTTTATATGTAATGTGTACTGGGGGACCACCTCTCTCCTACACCTTTATATGTAATGTGTATTGGGGGACCACCTCTCTCCTACACCTTTATATGTAATGTATATTAGGGGACCAGCTCTCTCCTACACCTTTATATGTAATGTATATTGGGGGACCACCTCTCTCCTACACCTTTATATGTAATGTATATTGGGGGACCACCTCTCTCCTACACCTTTATATGTAATGTATAGTGGGGGACCACCTCTCTCCTACACCTTTATATGTAATGTATATTGGGGGACCACGTCTCTCCTACACCTGTATATGTAATGTGTACTGAAGACAACCTCTCATACACCTGTCTATGAAACATGTGTTTGAGGACCACCCTTCTTCTGCAGTCAATTGGTATTTTGTATGTATCTATTGGATTACAATCATTAATGTCCCCATTCTTACATGACATATGTGATCTAAGCATTTTATACCTTCTCAAGGCCCCCTCTTAAGCCCCTTGTGTTTGTTATTTTTTGTATTGCTCCATTCCAGTCATGTCTGGAGGCCTCAGACAAAGTGAGACTTCTCACAACTGTTTTCTTACATAATAATTAATTGAATTGCTGAGAAATCACTGGAGTTGACAAGTGACAAAACACAATTGGGATTCTGACATGAAGTTATCTGTAAATCAATAGAATGTGATACCTATTTGGCCTACTTTCACAATATTAACCGAGACATACAATATATGTACAATTATTTCTTGAAAATTACTAAAGTCTTTTATTTCTGGTTTTATCAAGTTAACACACAGTCTTGGATTTACAAATTTTAATTGTTTGTTTCATGTTTTTATGACCTTTTTCAGTCTTTCTCTTTAAAAATTAAAGACCGTTTATAACAATATTTAAACATCCTATAATTCATTACAAACACTTAACTTTACAAAGAACTGATTTTTCCTGAAAACACTGCCAGCATGATTGTATTTTTAACTCTATAATCTTGAACACTCACATGTCCTTGAGCTCCTTCTCTGGGCCTTGCATTTTGCCCTCAACCGAGCCACGATGCGTATTTTGAACAAAGCCTACAAGTCCCCGCTTTGTCGCATTCTTCTGTGTGTACTGAAACAAAGGTTGACACCGGATTTGAACTATATAACATAATATGCACAATTTAAGTAAAACTGTGACTGTAACATTCTGCAACATGATCACAGAAATTAACAGAGAACAATATTTCTCTTCTCTGAAGAATTCTGGATGATTGCTGAAAATTTATTGAACATCTAAGCTGACACATCCAGTAAAGTTGTAGTTAATGAGGACAGTGAAACAAACACTCCCTGTTTTAAATATTATTACCAAGTCTACAATATTTTACTCAAAATCAGCAGACATAATTAAGAAAGAAATCATTTGATTAAGCCATCAGCAAAATATTATCTTGTAAGCTTGTACATACATGTACCAATAAATTTCTAACTAGGTTTTCTGGTTGCTGAAAATTTTTGACAAGGTCGTGTTCAGGAAAAGTTGACAGTAAATGCATAAATGCTATGAAATATATACTAGTATCAGCTCCTTGAAATTGATCTAAACAGCAATTCACCATCACCAATAATAAACTTGTATTCATTTGTCAAAGGATACCTTTATGATCATTAAATACATGTATCAATTACATCATTTCAAAAATTTCCCAACCTGAAGTGTTTAAAATCTAAGCTTGCTATTACTGTTTTTTTCTATCCTGGAGAGTCCTGTGCAAATTATCCTGGGAGGCCTTGTTTATCAAGGGATACCCTGTCTAGTTTACACTGGGATACCCTGTCTAGTTTATACTAGGATACCATGTCTAGTTTATCCTGGGATACTGTCTAGTTTATACTGGGATACCCTGTCTAGTTTATACTTGGATATCCTGTCTAGTTTATACTGGGATGACCTGTTTAGTTGATACTGGGGTACCCTGTCTTGTTTATACTGGGATACCCTGTCTAGTTTATACTGGGATGACCTGTTTAGTTGATACTGGGGTACCCTGTCTTGTTTATACTGGGATACCCTTTCTAGTTTATACTGGGATACCATGTCTAGTTTATATTTGGATACCCTGTCTAGTTGATACTGGGATACTGTCTAGTGTATACTGGGATACCCTGTCTAGTTGATACTGGGATGTCCTGTTTAGTTTATACTGGGATACCCTGTCTAGTTTAGTTTATACTGGGATACTGGGATACCATGTCTAGTTTATCCTGGGATACTGTCTAGTTTATACTGGGATACCCTGTCTAGTTGATACTGGGATGCCCTGTTTAGTTTATACTGGGATACCCTGTCTAGTTTATACTGGGATACCCTGTCTAGTTTATACTGGGATACCATGTCTAGTTTATCCTGGGATACTGTCTAGGGATACCTTGTCTAGTTGATACTGGGATGCCCTGTCTAGTTGATACTAGGATACCCTGTTTAGTTTATATTAGGATACCCTGTCTAGTTTACACTGGGATACCCTGTCTAGTTTATACTGGGATACCATGTCTAGTTTATCCTGGGATACTGTCTAGTTTATACTGGGATACCCTGTCTAGTTGATACTGGGATGCCCTGTCTGTTTAGTTTATACTGGGATACCCTGTCTAGTTTATACTGGGATACCCTTTCTAGTTTATACTGGGATACCATGTCTAGTTTATACTGGGATACTGTCTAGTTTATACTGGGATACCCTGTCTAGTTGATACTGGGATACCCTGTCTAGTTTATACTGGGATACCCTGTTTATTTTATACTGGGATACCCTGTCTAGTTTATACTGGGATACACTGTCTAGTTTATACTGGGATACCCTGTCTAGTTTATACTGGGATACTGTCTAGTTTATACTGGGATACCCTGTCTAGTTTACACTGGGATACCCTGGGATACCCTGTCTAGTTGTATACTGGGATACCCTGTCTAGTTTATACTGGGATACCCTGTCTAGTTTATACTGGGATACCCTGTCTAGTTTATACTGGGATACCCTGTCTAGTTTATACTGGGATACCCTGTCTAGTTTATACTGGGATACCCTGTCTAGTTTATACTGGGATACCCTGTCTAGTTTATACTGGGATACCCTGTCTAGTTTATACTGGGATACCCTGTCTAGTTTATACTGGGATACCCTGTCTAGTTTATACTGGGATACCCTGTCTAGTTTATACTGGGATACCCTGTCTAGTTGTCTAGTATACTGGGATACCCTGTCTAGTTTATACTAGTTTTATACTGGGATACCCTGTCTAGTTTACTGGGATACCCTGGGATATACCTGTCTAGTTTATACTGGGATACCCTGTCTAGTTTATACTGGGATACCCTGTCTAGTTTACTGGGATACCCTGTCTAGTTTATACTGGGATACCCTTTCTAATTTATACTGGGATACCCTGTCTAGTTTATACTGGGATACCCTGTCTAGTTTATACTGGGATACCCTGTCTAGTTTATACTGGGATACCCTGTCTAGTTTATACTGGGATACACTGTCTAGTTTATACTGAGATATCCTGTCTAGTTTATACTGGGATACCCTGTCTAGATACTGGGATACATGTCTAGTTTATACTGGGATACTGTCTAGTTTATACTGGGATACCCTGTCTAGTTTATCCTGGGATACTGTCTAGTTTATACTGGGATACCCTGTCTAGTTGATACTGGGATACCCTGTCTAGTTTACACTGGGATACCCTTTCTAGTTTATACTGGGATACCATGTCTAGTTTATCCTGGGATACTGTCTAGTTTATACTGGGTTAACCTGTCTAGTTTATACTGGGATATCCTGTCTAGTTTATACTGGGATACCCTGTCTAGTTTATACTGGGATACCCTGTCTAGTTTATACTGGGATAACCTGTTTATTTTATACTGGGATACTGTCTAGTTTACACTGGGATACCCTGTCTAGTTTATACTGGGATACCATGTCTAGTTTATCCTGGGATACCATCTAGTTTATACTGGGATACCCTGTCTAGTTTATACTGGGATACCCTGTTTAGTTTACACTGGGATACCCTGTCTAGTTTATACTGGGATACCATGTCTAGTTTATCCTGGGATACTGTCTAGTTTACACTGGGATACCCTGTCTAGTTTATACTGGGATACCATGTCTAGTTTATCCTGGGATACTGTCTAGTTTATACTGGGATACCCTGTCTAGTTGATACTGGGATGCCCTGTTTAGTTTATACTGGGATACCCTGTTTAGTTTATACTGGGATACCCTGTCTAGTTTATACTGGGATACCCTGTCTAGTTTATACTGGGATACACTGTCTAGTTTATACTGGGATATCCTGTCTAGTTTATACTGGGATACTGTCTAGTTTATACTGGGATACAGCTGTCTAGTTTACACTGGGATACCCTTTCTAGTTTATACTGGGATACCATGTCTAGTTTATATTTGGATACCCTGTCTAGTTGATACCGGGATACTGTCTTGTTTATACTGGGATGCCCTGTTTAGTTGATACTGGGGTACCCTGTCTTGTTTATACTGGGATACCCTGTCTAGTTTACACTGGGATACCCTGTCTAGTTCATACTGGGATACCATGTCTAGTTTATCCTGGGATACTGTCTAGTTTATACTGGGATACCCTGTCTAGTTGATACTGGGATGCCCTGTTTAGTTTATACTGGGATACCCTGTCTAGTTTACACTGGGATACCATGTCTAGTTTACACTGGGATACCCTGTCTAGTTCATACTGGGATACCATATCTAGTTTATCCTGGGATACTGTCTAGTTTATACTGGGATACCTTGTCTAGTTGATACTGGGATGCCCTGTCTAGTTGATACTGGGATACCCTGTTTAGTTGATATTAGGATACCCTGTTTAGTTTACACTGGGATACCCTGTCTAGTTTATACTGGGATACCATGTCTAGTTTATCCTGGGATACTGTCTAGTTTATACTGGGATACTGTCTAGTTTATACTGGGATACCCTGTCTAGTTGATACTGGGATGCCCTGTTTAGTTTATACTGGGATACCCTGTCTAGTTGATACTGGGATACCCTGTCTAGTTTATACTGGGATACCATGTCTAGTTTATCCTGGGATACCCTGTCTAGTTGATACTGGGATACTGTCTAGTTGATACTGGGATACCCTGTCTAGTTTACACTGGGATACCCTGTCTGGTTCATACTGGGATACCATGTCTAGTTTATCCTGGGATACTGTCTAGTTTATACTGGGATACCTTGTCTAGTTGATACTGGGATGCCCTGTCTAGTTGATACTGGGATACCCTGTTTAGTTTATATTAGGATACCCTGTCTAGTTTACACTGGGATACCCTTTCTAGTTTATACTGGGATACCATGTCTAGTTTATCCTGGGATACTGTCTAGTTTATACTGGGTTAACCTGTCTAGTTGATACTGGGATACCCTGTCTAGTTTATACTGGGATACCCTGTCTAGTTGATACTGGGATACCCTGTCTAGTTTACACTGGGATACCCTTTCTAGTTTATACTGGGATACCATGTCTAGTTTATCCTGGGATACTGGGATACCCTGTCTAGTTTATACTGGGATACCCTGTCTAGTTGATACTGGGATACCCTGTCTAGTTTATACTGGGATACCCTGTTTATTTTATACTGGGATACCCTGTCTAGTTGATACTGGGATACCCTGTCTAGTTTACACTGGGATACCCTGTCTAGTTTACACTGGGATACCCTGTCTGGTTCATACTGGGATACTGTCTAGTTTATACTGGGATACCCTGTCTAGTTTATACTGGGATATCCTGTCTAGTTTATACTTGGATACCCTGTCTATTTTATACTGGGATACTGTCTATTTTATACTGGGTTATACCCTGTCTAGTTTATACTGGGATACTGTCTGTCTGGGAGTTTATACTGGGATGCCCTGTTTGGTTTACCCTGTCTAGTTTATACTGGGATACCCTGTCTATTTTATACTTGGATACCCAGTCTAGTTTATATTGGGATACCCTGTCTAGTCGATACTGGGATAATGTCTAGTTTATACTGGGATACCCTGTCTAGTTCAAACTGGGATACCCTGTCTAGTTGATACTGGGATACCCTGTCTAGTTTATACTGGGATACCCTGTCTAGTTTATACTGGGATACCCTGTCTAGTTTATACTGGGATACACTGTCTAGTTTATACTGGGATACCCTGTCTAGTTTATACTGGGATACTGTCTAGTTTATACTGGGATACCCTGTCTAGTTTATACTGGGATATCCTGTCTAGTTTATACAGGGATACCAGGACTAGTTTATACAGGGATACTGTCTAGTTTATACTGGGTTAACCTGTCTAGTTTATACTGGGATATCCTGTCTAGTTTATACTGGGATACCCTGTCTAGTTTATACTGGGATATCCTGTCTAGTTTATACTGGGATACCCTGTCTATTTTATACTTGGATACCCAGTCTAGTTTATATTGGGATACCCTGTCTAGTTGATACTGGGATACTGTCTAGTTTATACTGGGATACCCTGTCTAGTTGATACTGGGATACCCTGTCTATTTTATACTTGGATACCCAGTCTAGTTTATATTGGGATACCCTGTCTAGTTTATACTGGGATACACTGTCTAGTTTATACTGGGATATCCTGTCTAGTTTATACTGGGATACTGTCTAGTTTATACTGGGATACCCTGTCTAGTTGATACTGGGATACCCTGTCTAGTTTATACTGGGATACCCTGTCTAGTTTATACTGGAATACCCTGTCTAGTTTATGCTGGGATATCCTGTCTAGTTTATACTGGGATACAGCTGTCTATTTCATCCTGGGTACCCTGTCTTGTTTATACTGGGATATCCTGTCTAGTTTATACAGAAATACCCTGTCTAGTTTATACTGGGGTACCCTGTTTAGTTGATACTGGGATACCCTGTCTAGTTTATACTGGAATACACTGTCTGGTTTATACTCATTACCCTGTCTAATTTATCCTTGGGCACCTTGTCTAGGTTAACTCATCACTGATGAATAGCAATACAATGTTTCCATACCGATGGCTTTATTACAAAGCAATAATTGGGAACTGAACTTTCCCACTGTCATGCATTGTGCAGTATCATCCTGCATTTTTTTTTCAAATGCCTTCACATTCTAAAATGTTTGTAGTTCATTAAGAGAATGCTCTGCTTGCAAAAAATTGGTGACATTTGCAGCTGAAGACCTTTGGGATATGTAAAAGATTACACTCTGACGTCATACTGTGAGCCTATTAGAGGTAATGTCATTGATATGAGGACTGCACTAAGCACAACATCGCCTTACAGGATTCTAGAAAAACTAACTCAATTACTCAACAGACATCTGGGAACACAATAGTCAAGATGGAACTCATTTCATGGTTAAAGGGCTTAATATTGATATGAAATGAAGATGGATTTGTGTGTGTGTGTCATTCCATTTGTCTTGGAATGCCTTATTTCCGTCCATTTTCAGGCATGTGTTTTCATCATATCTAGACTCCCAGACATTTACATCATGATGTTGGTACCTCACATTTCTACACCACTTTGCTTACTGTCAATATATAGGTGACCAAAGGTCACAGGTCAAAGGTCAAATAAATACCAGTAATCAATATTTTTTTGATCAGAATGAAATTGAATAATTTATCATATTGTTTATTTTCAAATGTCAATATACAATTTCAAGTCATGTTATACATGTAGTTCTTCCAGTTAAGCTGACATTATATAACAATGACTTATTAGTTTCTGGTCTGAAAGTTACATATCAGATATAAAAAAAAATTATAATTAAATTAATTAATTAATTAATTAATTAATTATATAATAAAAAATGATAAGAAAGAATGAACAAAAAACTTACCTTGCGAAAGAAAACACCTGAAATATAAACAATAAATGAAGATAATTTCATTGTGTGTAAATATAACAGAACAAAGAATTGAAACATAGATTTAAAGCTGTGCTTTTCTCAATAATTTGTATATTGATTGTAACACATACAATGATTGTTGAGATCATACAGAAACTAAACTTATACAGACTTGTTACATACATATTTAGCGAATAATAACATAAAAAAAAACAGTAAGTATCCTTAGAGGGTTACATCATAATTCTTGCCTTCCTTTTTAAGGTATTACATGATACCATTTGCCAATCACATCAGGATATCTTTATTCCGAAGAGGCTGTGATAGCTCAGTCCTTTTGCTGGCCACATAACCTTCTGTGTAGGTGGAGGTTGTGTGGTTATATGCTCTCTAATCTTATGTTCATGTTTCACAGGTAGCTGAGAAATGGACTGGTCTGTGCTGTCATGGTTGTGTCCTTTGGCAAGACATTTTACCCCATTTGCTTTGGATGACATGCAACAGGCCTTCCATATGTTGTTCATTGAGGTAACCACCAGCTACTACACGAAGGCCAGTCTCAAAATGCCTGGCTGTTTATGATGTGATAAATTCAACCAAAAATAATTTCTTTCAGCCTTAACTAGGTTGGTTTATGTCAAATGTCACCAAGATATACTCATCCAGACAAATATGAGACTTTCCATGTGCAAAGCAGTGGTGGTTTATTTAAACATAAACATTGTACATTGTAGATATACTGATGTGTGGTCCTGAGTGATGGTCTATTTAGACAGGTGACACTGTACAATGTAGATATATTGATATGTGGTCCTGAGTGATGGTCTATTTAGACAGGTGACACTACAATATAGATATACTGATGTGTGGTCCTGAGTGGTGGTCTATTTAGACAGGTGACGCTGTACAATGCAGATGTACTGACATGTAGTCCTTAATGGTGGTCTATTAAGACAGGTGACACTACCATGTAGATATATTGATATGTGGTCCTGAGTGGTGGTCTATTTAGACAGGTAACACTGTACAATGTAGATATACTGATGTGTGGTCCTGAGTGGTGGTCTATTTAGACAGGTGACACTGTACAATGTAGATGTACTGACATGTAGTCCTTAATGGTGGTCTATTAAGACAGGTGACACTACCATGTAGATATATTGATGTGTGGTCCAGTGATATCATGGTAGCTGTCAGTATATTGTTGTAATACTGGTGACTGAAGGTATATAAGGAATTTTATGTCAGCTCAAAATTATGATACCAACAGTAAATACATTGCTTATTTCAAAAGATTCATGTATTTCTGAATTAATGAGGTTATACATATAAAACCCTGGAGTAGATATTTAATGTTATCCTCCTACTCTTATTGACAGTGAACCTTCCTAATTCACACACTTATTTGTTACTTTACAACAGCGCAGTAATGTTTATTGCAGCGTGGGCGACAGATTATTCAGTCATCACATTGTAGTGTGATGCTTTTTCTCGTCCCTCTGGTGCTTCTTTGAGATACCAGACATCTAATTGGACAGGAAAAAAAAGGGAAATGAAATTTTTTAGAAATCTTTCAGCAGTGTGTATTTTTTTCCTGTTGCATACATGCTATCATCATCTCAAGACATTTGTCAATTAAATTGCAAGTGTGGCCCAGTCATTCCTTAGATTGTGGTAGTGAACAGGATCGTCCTGATCTTAACCATCCACATGATATATTGATCTACTTTTGTGAGGACTTAAGTGTAGAGGAAAGAATTCCGTATAGAAAAATCATGTAACGTTCTCCAACATTACAGATTTGTGTAACTTATGGTGAATCCTTATATGTTTATTTACTTTACGTATACACATATCACTTGTATAAATTCAGTTTCAGTTGTCTGTGTTTAATCCCGTGTAGAATTATCAGAAAAATTCTACAGGCACTGATAAAGATTTAGGTTAGATGGAAATACTCATTTCTTGACATAGACGAAAATATTGATTTTCTATCATTGATTCAAATGTTTATTTCTGACAAACAGTAAATCATTCTATGGTGTAATCAAACTTTTTTTTCATTAATTCCCTGAAAGGTAGGAAAATATCTTCATCCAAATTATGTAACAGAAAAAGATTGTAATGAAACACTAATTAAATTATTAAATTGAGATGGTTGCCATGAAAACAAGGAAACAAATTGGAGATTATACCTACATATTTTATGTAACTGTTTTAAACAATGAATTGGTACCAATTTATACCAATCTCCATGCTTGAAAAACTCATCCAAAATCTAGATAGAAAAAGATTTTTTAATAAAAAACAGTAAGAAGTTAGAAACACCTTTGACTTTGACAGTAGATTTAATTGACAATACAATAACCATGTTTGAGAAAGTCATCAGAAATGTTGAACAGTTTAATAGTCCTTACATCAGCAAACAACAATTTACAATACAATATCCATCATGAGACATGAAAGAATATCAGATTTATTAAGTATAAAAAATTACCAGTAATAGTGATTTTGTTCCATCAAATCAAGAGAATCAAAATTTACTTTTTTCTAAATACGTAAGTTACAGAAGTAGACAGTGTTATAAGCCTTGGTGATGACGCCTGTCCTGTTTTAATGGGAATGTTCATAAAATGTGAATAGAAATACATACAAAGGGCAATAACTCTTCAAAAACAAATGCTGAATAAAAAAAATGCTGTATAGGAATACACTATATCTACTGGGTAGTTAAAATCAGATCTCTCATTTCAAATTGTTTTCTGCACCTGATTTCATAAAGATCTGAATAAGCCTACAGGAATTACCAATTTGATGACCTCTAACATGAAATAATAAGCAAAGGTCAGCTGGTCTATATGTTTTCAAACGATCATTGACTTTGATATACCGGGTACAACATCTGCAACTCCTCAATTTTCAATTTTCGGGGTAAAAAATTGAATGCAAGTTTACAATTGTTGAAAAGGATAATGCAGAAAGTTAGTAATCAAATTTCACTTCAGCAGGTAATAATACTGTGAAGAGAGTTAACTATGGTCACCCTGTTTCTAAGCTGTTGGAGAATTAAAACTTTTTTGGCTCAGTTGGTAGTGCTATGGGTTATTACATTAGAGACTGGCTGAGATTGATTTCTGTCGAGGAACCCAAGAGGAATGTGCATTTTTCAGTTCTTTCACATTGAATTGGCACCCAAACAAATCCAATTGGTTGTAGTATATGAAAGTTCAAGACTAAAAAAGGAAAGTATTCAATTGCAAAAGCTTCAGGTTGGTGTGTCTTGCAAATAGTGTTGAATACGGTCTCTGTCATTCAGTTGATGGAGCATGCTTCTTTGGCTCATTTGGTATTGCAATAGACTACCTTGCTAGAGACCCAGTTTCAATTCCTGTCACAGCAATCAGCAGAAATGTCTATTTTTCTGCATTTCTTTCACAAAGTTGTAATAGGAAGGAGTAATGAAAATCACCCTGTCACTGCTGGGGTTCAAACTAAAAGGGAAATTCCCACAAATTCAGGCTAATAAGGTGACTTGAACTCTCAATTTTGACATTCTTCCATCCTTCACTAAATTTTTGACCCCAAAGACATAAACAACCCAGGTTCATATCTCCAAAGAAACATCTCAATCTCCTTCATTTTCAGTCACATTATAAAAAGGTTCTTTATCAATAAATTTTCTAACAATTTTCTTATTTAGTAGAATGATAAGACAGAACTAATAATGACCTTATATTTGTTTTGTAACGGTTGTGTATTTTTCACTAAATTGTGTAGTAAGAGTGTCTTGCATATAATGTTAAATACAGTCTCTATTATTTGGATAACAGAATGTTTTTTTTTGGCTCAGCTGGTAGAGCTGTATGTAATCACACCAGAGGCATATAACTTTGATACCTGTAAAAGTATTCTGCAGGAATGATAATTTTTTCTGTGATCTATAGCAATGGCATCTTTCAAGTTGTGGTATTTAGAATCACGGACAGAGACTGAGAAAGAAAAACATAGGCAATAGCTGTCTTAATACTGTCTCTTGTCACTCTGCTGATGGAGTCATGGACTATCATGCTGCAGATCCAAGTTCCATTCCTATCAAAGTGCTTGGCAGGAATGTCTTTCTTTTCCTGTTACATTGTACTAATAATATATTAAAATCAGTAGCAAAACGATTTGTTTGTCAAGAGAAAAAAAATGAAATGAAATTGGTATCTTGTATGAACTTAAAAAACCATCTGAGTGTGAAGTAAAAATGTAGACATAAGAGAATGATCAGGAACAGACATGGCAGAGTGTTAATTGTCTATTGCGATAGAGTTTAAGGTGAATTCAAACAATCAGCAACAAACACGACATCCCAGAAATATACAAGAAAGGGATCTGGCGTTTCATACATGAACAGTAAATAAAAAGTGATACTATAATAGTAATTATTTAACGTACAAAACGTCTGATACCTGATTACAGAGTGATTCTCGACGCACCGACGATCATCACAATAAATGTGACAAGTTCTTTTTCTGATGTAAACTTAAATAGGCCTAGAACCTTACTGTTCAGAAGTAATGTGGGCCTACGTAACACGAGTTGCACTTTTTATCAGTGTATCTCTCCCCCAATCTAACATGTAATTATAACAATGTATCAAACAACTACCAGTCATGCAAATCACAAAGTCTGTCTCACCTTGTACTTTGCCGATAACCTCAAATTCTACGGAGAGCAGCACTCCACCAGTAGCCATCTGTTTACATGTGCAACGGATGTTTCAAGTGCCTGTATAACGAGGACTACGACTGGTGCAAAGTTCACATTACTGACCAATCAAATACCTCCTATTAGTACTAGTGGTGCGTTTGGCGGGGGCGTGACAGACCGTTCTGGCAGATCGTGGGTGTAGGTCCTTGATCCCACCCACGGCTCACACACAGTCGATGTAATATAGATTATAAATGCTAATGTACGCTGTACAGAATTTGAATAAAATACAATATATTTTGATATCAACACGATAAATTCCAATACTTAAATGCAGAATTATTTAATTTGTTGGATTTCAAATATTGAAATAAATGAATCGAATGCAGTCATTGTAAATGCCTTTGCCAATACATTGTATATTTCTGTTCTGTAAATATATTACATGTATTAAAGGTATTGAAGGTGACAGTGTATTGTAAAGTATACACCATTCCTTACTGGTATTGATATACAAAATATATTATTCATGTGAACTTTATTTTTTTTCCTCGCTGAAAAACACTATCTGCAAAGAATCCTCTACTTTTCTAGAATATCTTATCGTATCATGAACGTAAGTCTGTGATGGTATCAATTACTATTGTACAGGTGTATAAAAACAAAACAAATGATAAAGAAGTCCTTTAATTCAATTGTTTATTGGAAATGTACTGATTTATTCACTACTTGACTTTTTCTTCTATGAAGATTGAAACAAAATGATTCAATATGTTGGTTTATAACAAAATCCTCATAATCTTGAACAAGAGTTTTTTTTTTAATGTGTATAATAAATCAGTTCTTCAGTGCATCTTCCAGAAGTTTTAAGTGGGACTGTCGCAGCCCCGTGGTGTAACATTAGTTACTTGGGACACCCACAAGGGTAAATTGAGTGATGCCCAGCATCAATCTACTAATTAGTTTATGTTGTAGGTCAGTAAACAGGAAAGTTTGTGTCTATGTGTTTAGCCCAGGCGTACAGGCCACCACGGATGTCTTTAATATCCACTTCTGAGTCTTTAAAACATTTGAGAAGTGTTTTTACTGCGATTTGTGAGTCATTACCACGGCGACACACCACAATCACTGCAGGTTTCTCATCTGATGTTTTCAGTTGTTTCTGTAACAAAGCTATGCTCTCATCATGTCCAATTCTACTAATTGGTATATCTGTGGTGTGTATTAAGGAAAAGTAAGTCCAGATCTAGGGATATATACACAACTGTAGGAACCAGTTGTACAAATCCTTTATACTGTCTGTCACGTGAAAGATGATAGTTTTGTTCAGGTAGAAGTCATCAATTGGTAAGAGATCACAAGGCATGGTTCTGCTGTCTAGACAAAACTACTGACAAGCACTAGTTGATCTATTTGTAAGTGACTTAGGATATCAAAGCTTACTGATACTTGTGTATAAAGAGTGCAGACAAGTTCTTCCTTGTGTAATCAATACAATGACTACTATGTAACATATATGTAACTGATAGTCACAATAACCATTGTCAATTCCATATTTAGGTGGTAATTAAGAATTTGCACTGTTCACCTCCACACTGTAAGACGCAATCCACCCCAACACTGTAAACAAGTAGATACAAACCACATAAGTACTGGTGACATTATCCACCTACACTGTGTATATGTACCAGCCAAACATATCACATACAAATACTGATGACACTGTCCCTCCCCTTTACACTATGTATATGTACCATCCACACACACAAATACTGGTGACATTGTTCCTCCCCTTTACACTGTGTATATGTACCATCCACACACAGAAATATTGGTGACACTGTCCCTCCCCTTTACACTGTGTATATGTACCATCCACTCACACAAATACTGGTGACATTGTCCCTCCCCTTTACACTGTGTATATGTACCATCCACACACACAAATACTGGTGACACTGTCCCTCTCCATTACATTACGTATATATACCATCCACACACAACACACAAATACTGGTGACATTGTCCCTCCCCTTTACACTGTGTATATGTACCATCCACTCACACAAATACTGGCGACATTGTCCACCTTCACACTGTGAACATGTACCATCTAAACACAACACACATATAATGGTGACACTGTCCCCTTTCACACTGAATATGTAACTTCCACACACAACACACAAATATTGGAGACAATGTCCCACTTCACACTGAACATGTAACTTCCACTCACAACACACAAATATTGGAGACACTGTCCCACTTCACACTGAACATGTAACTTCCACTCACAACACACAAATATTGGAGACACTGTCCCACTCCACACTGTACATGTAACTTCCACTCACAACACACAGATATTGGAGACACTGTCCCACTCCACACTGTACATGTAACTTCCACTCACAACACACAGATATTGGAGACACTGTCCCACTTCACACTGAACATGTAACTTCCACTCACAACACACAGATATTGGAGACACTGTCCCACTTCACACTGAACATGTACCATCCAAACATAACACACAAATATTGGAGACACTGTCCCCTTTCACACTGAACATGTAACTTCCACACACAACACACAAATATTGGAGACACTGTCCCACTTCACACTGAACATGTACCATCCAAACATAACACACAAATATTGGAGACACTGTCTCCTTTCACACTGAACATGTAACTTCCACTCACAACACACAGATATTGGAGACACTGTCCCAATTCACACTGAACATGAAACTTCCACTCACAACACACAAATATTGGAGACACTGTCCCACTCCACACTGTACATGTATGGCCATCACATGCAACACACACAAATAATAGTAACACTGTCCCCCTTTACACTGTGAACATGTACCATCCACACACAACACACACAAATATTGGAGACATTGTCCCCATGCACACTGTATATAAGTACCACCCACACACAGCACAAGGAAATACTGGTGAACACCTCACCAAAACATTCTCTCTTCAGCGATGGAATCTTTATTGATTTTTCTTGGAAATCAAATTCATTCTGAGCACAACGAAATCAAAGAAGTATAACATGTGGGAGTCAGTGTCTGTACTTAGGATGACAGTGTGTGTTATCAATGATGTTCGTGTATAAAAACCAGGCTTTTATTTAGATATAAGAGCTTGTCAATCGTTTGCCAATCCCTCACACACTTAGATGTCATGTTACTATTCCCTTGTACAGACAAGATCACTTGGATCAACCAATCACTACAAATGAGATTTCACAGCACATAAAATCAATATCTGATGGTATAGATAAAAGTGTACCTATCACCAGTACATGTCACCTGCGGTAATTCATGTAAATATTTGTGTCAAAATGTCGGTATCACTGGTCAGCTAGGAAATGTCTTGAGAAATCTAAGGACAACTTATAGGATTATAATTTAAAAATTAGTAATGACACATGTTTTGGAAGATGTGCACAATATGATTTTCCTATGCATATATTAACCTTAAGTAAAAAGAATGTCATGTAGTATACAAACAGCTATCGTACTGTCGGTGTTTAATTTTGTGGGTGTTGGACCTTATTCATCAGGGTTTGCCAGTCACATTCAATACATCGTTTGACATTGTACAAAATACACAAAAGCAATTTACATTGAGATTTTGATTCAGCAAAGTTGAACCGTGAATTACTCGGAACACAACGGGGCACATTCCTGCTTGTCAGACATTAGGAGTAACTAACAACTATATTTCATTCTGATTCTAATAAAAAAGTCAATCACACGTTGTTTACACAAGAATAAGTTTGAATTTCCAAGGAAGTTGAGGATACTCTGCTGAAACCAACAATTAATTACATTAACACATGCCAGTCATGACAGTCCGTTTTTCTTATCTTCCATCCCGAACGATTATTGAATATTTTTATATCGTAAATAAATAAAAAAGGATACTGATTGGTTGATGGGGTAACTGACATATGTCCATCTCTACTTCTGTCCGGACATCCACCAGGATGTGATTTGACTTTGTCTCTAACATCTTGTTGTATTCCTGTTCAATGGTAAATGATGATATCACTAAGTGATGATAGTAACAATCAACAGGCAAGTAGATAACAGGAATATCATCCAGATAAAGCTAAAAAATGAAGGCATTTCACTGTGAATCAACTTTTTTCTTGTGTTCATCAAATCACACTCTGACCTTGAAAAGCTAGTCTCAGTTTTTCACTTGATAACTGAGTATAGATACTGCAAAATCATGTATTTTTGTGGGGACCAAATTTCCTGGTTTTTTGTAGAGTTATCATTTCTTAGGCACTTTATTTTTTGATAAGCAGCATTCTATAAATCCACTTAGCTCTAAAAAAATCAACATCAATTTTTAACTTTTAATTATCTCAAAACAACAAAAATAAACTTACAAGTAAAAAAAATGTTCTACAATAATTACACTTTACATTGGGAGATAGTGTGTCAAGATCAAGTTATGAAATATAAAAGTACAATAAGAATGAAACTGTACATATCTTTCGAAATACACATAGGACCTGATTAAAAAAAAAAGTTGTGGATGTTTCAATAGGTGAGAAAATATAGCAAAGGTAGCAATTATCATCTTTCCACTAATTCAATTGTTGATAACCAGTAGGACTTTTTGTCTTCCCTGTATAGTATACCCTGATTATTGTTTCTAACCTAACCTCCAAGTTACTGCCATTTAAAACCATTGTTTTCAGCAAAATAAGTAAGGCTAAATTAAACTTTCTTTATTTTAGAGAGAGAGAGAAGAACTTCTATCATACTTCATTTCATAGTTTTAGTTTCAACATATTCCATTGCAAAATACTACAAATTAACTGCCCACATGTTACTGCAATTGATAAACATAAATAAAAAATAATTTTAAAAACTTGCATCTTTTATAAAGGAAAACTTTTGCCCTATTGACGATAGGTCAAAACCAAACGTTGAGTGAAAATTTTAAAATTATTGCTGGAACATTTTTTCGCTGGGAAAAAATTACCAGTTTATGTGAGAGCTAAAAAAATGATTAAGCAAATGTTTCCCTGTATACAGGAGTTATGGCAGATAGCCTCTTACGCTATCAGAGGATACATTCAGGAATGTTGAAAATAAGCTTAAGGATCTTTGATAGCTGTCTGTCTCAGAGATAGAGCTTTTTCGCATGACAACACAAACAACATAGATTACAATGCTGTCAGCAAGATACTGAAGTAAGGTAGAATATACAATTCATCAGTCTCTACTTAAGAAGTAATCTCGTTCCAAAATGTTTTTCCTTCTTTACTGAAATGGTTGTCATAAAAAAAAAACTTATTTTTTTCAAATTTAATTTTTCAATAGTTGACATAACTAACAGATTCTTGCCAGATATTCTATCATATTTAGCAGGAAATGAAACAACTGATTCCACTCTCTCACCGTTCCAGTTATTACCATCCTCAAAAGGCTGATCACATGGAAGGTCACTTAGCCAACATCTAGACCACAATACAGTTTCTTTTCAAGAATATATAAGCTCATTATCACAGATAATTTCATCCTCGATAACCTAGGGGTCACAATCACATTCACTCTCTGCACCCCTGGAACATGTCATGGTAAAATTGAAGGCACCAACAAGGTAAGTTGATTGAACTATACAAAGTTCAATAGCTGGTGTATATATTTATTTGTGAATTGAGAATACCCACAAATTAATGGAAATAAATACCCCACCAAAATTAACGATTTTGCAGAAGTTCAATTAAACTCATTAAAATGCAAACTGATCACATCATTCGACATAGGAAAGTTAAGGCATGTATGGTTTAAGACATCCTCTTAAAAATGTATTCCTTGTGAGTAACACCATAGAGATAAAAAAAATTCATGCCATTCCCTACTACCTGGCATATAGGAAAAACAAAACACTTACATGCACTGTAATCCTTTGTTTTGAGTCTAACACCTTCAGACATTTGTCCTGTCAAAAATAATAAGAAAAATGAATTAGGTAGCTACAGAATTGTATGTCAGCAGACAAACTCATCAAACACCATTCCTTTACTAATCTACCTGCCCTTTACTATTCTCCCCTTCCCTCATCTAACATTGTCACTGTACTAACCTCCCTTACCTTCATCGAACACCACCACTGAACTAACCTCCCCTACCCTCATCGAACACCACCACTGAACTAACCTCCCCTACCCTCATCTAACACCATCACTGTACTAACCTCCCCTTCCCTCATCTAAAACCATCACTGAACCAACCTCCCCTACCCTCATCTAACACCATCATTGTACTAACCTCCCCTTCCCTCATCTAACACAGTAACTGTACTATTGTCCCCTACCCTCATCTAACACCATCACTGTACTAACCTCCCCTTCCCTCATCTAAAACCATCACTGAACCAACCTCCCCTACCCTCATCTAACACCGTCACTGTACTAACCTCCCCTACCCTCATCTAACACTATCAATGTACTAACCTCCCCTTCCCTCATCTAACACCATCACGGTACTAGCCTCCCTTACCCTCATCTAACACCACCGCTGTACTAACCTCCCCTTCCCTCATCTAACACCACCACTGAACTAACCTCCCCTACCCTCATCTTATACCACTGATCTCCTTCCCCTACCCTTATCTAACACCATCACTGTACTAACCTCCCCTGCCCTCATCTAATATCGTCACTGCACTATCCTCCCCTGCCATCATCTAACACAGTAACTGTACTATTGTCCCCTACCCTCATCTAGCAGAGTCACTGTACTAACCTTCCCTACCCTCATCTAACACCATCACCACTGAACTAACCTCACCTACCCTCATCTAACACCACCACTGTACTAACCTCCCTACTCTCATCTAACACAGTCACTGAACTAACCTCCCCTACCCTCATCTAACACCACCAATATCCTCCCCTACCCTTATCTAACACTGTCACTGTACTAACCTCCCCTACCCTCATCTAACACCACCAATATCCTCCCCTACCCTTATCTAACACTGTCACTGTACTAACCTCCCCTACCCTCATCTAACACCACCACTGAACTAATCTCCCCTACTCTCATCTTACACCACCACTAACCTCTCATACCTCATCTAACACCACCACTGTACTAACCTCCCCTACTTACATCTATCACCACAACATCTCCTTGATCTACAAATTTACAGTGTAGGACATGGCCCTCTTAATTAAAAGTCTTACTTCTTCAGAATTGTTCCTCTTGTCTGCAATTGTTAACCCCTCCCCTTTCTAATCAGAACCAATCTATGTATTTATTAATGGTTTATAGGATAGATACATCCATAGTCTATAATTAATCCAATGAAATCCTCAAACTACATCTCTTACCTTGTCATTAGCCCTGGCCCCACAGAACTGTTCATAGTCGATCAATTGTGTAATGGAAGGTTCTGTGCCACACAGTGGACATGAGGGTTGTCTCCCCCTGAGCTTGATCCTTCTAAATGTACCATCCAGTCCATCAAACATAAGCATCACTTGTGAGAATGAAGCTGGCTTTCGTCAAGGCAGACTTTAAATAAAGTTGGTAAGTTCATAATGCAGTAGTGAGCTTATGTGTCTTTCTTGTGTGCAACTTGGTGAGTGTTCATTGTGAAGAATATTGAAAGTATACATGTTTGTCTTGTCTTTGAAGGTTTCAGTGTTAGCGTATTCAAACAAAAGTAATTTTGTACACATTAAGTACATATTAACCACAAATCATAATTGTATTTCATGTAACATCATAAAAAAAGTTGCATGTACCAGACAGACAAAGGATACATCCAACACCAGCTGCTATTTTGAGAGCTTCCAAAGCCTGCAGACACCCAATGATTCCAGGGACTGAAATGTCAAGTCAAGTTTGCCTGTCATATCATTGATCATTTTGAATACCAGTGTAGGTGGGAATAACATTGAAGAGCTACTTTCAAACTGTTGTAAAACATGATGCAAAATAGAACTTTTTTGTATCTCATGACAGAAATACTATTCTCTATAATATATTGTAAAGATTGTAAGGTTTTACTATGCATATAACTTAGTAAACTTTTCTCACTAAGGATAAAGTAAATTCTTGCACATGTAACTTCAATATCTTTTTACTAAATCATATGAAGATGATGTAGATTGCTTGACAGAATGTAGCACATTGATGTAACAATGCTTTTCTCTTACCTACACCCAGGACACCTCCATCAGAACAATTGGTGACAGTCTCTGGGGGTGGGGGTTTGGGGTATAGACACCTGTAGCATGGTCCCCCATTGTAGTTGTATACTGTAAGCTGGGGAACAAAAGAGTAAGTCAAAAAGATAAGTCAAGGTACTGTAAATTACATTGGTCACAATGACATTATGACATGCATATCATTGTCTTGGAGATGGTTGTAGTGTACAGTCAAATGAAATGGCTGTTTCATGTCCGGGAAGAATAATTTACGTTTGGTCATAACTGTCTATAAATCAAGATAAAATCTGTTATAAATGACAGAGCAGTCAAACAGTCACGCTGCAAGTGATATTTAATGCTGAGGTTTATTTTTGGCCAACATTATTGATATCCTTCTAATTGATTTTTTACCTAATCCCTTATCTATATCTGTAAGGTCTTTTATATATTGTCATTTAAAAATATTTGGAACATCAAGGATTTATACAGCAGTTTCTTTCCACGAAGTCTTCTCTTGCAACTTGTTGAAATATTGTTGCCCACTCATATCTCAACCTTTTTCTTTTAGAAACTAAGCTGGCTAACTATAAAGCTCTACAGCTATATGAAAACTATTCATAAAAAAATCACCTGTATTTTATCCTGTGATAATTCCACTGACCTACATATTTAATCAATTAAATCATGCAACTTAATCAGCCAATGAGCGACTAGGATTCTGTTTTATCCTGTTAAAGAGTCCCTACCAAAATTGAGATTTGGTATAAGACTGTGGCCTCTAGGGGTTTAAATTTATTATTTATGATATATGAGAGAAATCTGCATTTATTGTGCTTCATAAAAAATGCAGTTTTAATACATTTCAATGTATCTAGGGCTGATTCAGACAGGTGTCAGGGGTTTTCCCTTAGTGGGTTGTTTGTTTCAATTGTAAACTTGTGGTTGTTGACTTCTGAAAGCAATGACAGTCCGAGATGCAATTCCACCTACTAAATAATGCTATTTGTAACCTTTGACAGGTATGTTTCAATGAATCTAGACAGTTGTTACATGTGTAAATATTAATGTTAGCAGCTTAAATGATAAGTAATAACATAGTGATTTATTTAGTTGCATTAGTCCTTCTACCATGGGCTTATTGTTGGATAACTATTTTAAGGTGACCCCAAGGAATCTGATATTGCAGTTTTTACTATTAAATCGTTTCCTGGGTAGATATTAGCAGATAAATTTTATTAACAGCTGGATCGGTTTGGTGATAATTAACTCTTTCTGCGCCAATTATCTCTTACAATGTACAGCTCAGCGCCAAATATTTTCCGGAAAATATCTGAAAACAATGGCAGCATTACTGAAACAAGCATATCTTGGCTAATAATAAAGATATTAACTTTGTCGACCAAAGTCGCCTACTGTGGCCTGTCTGTATGTCAACTTTAGTCGCCTACGGCCCCGAAAGGGTGAAAGCAGCCATCAATCTACAATCTATTTCCACAAGTTTTTTAAACTTTATTGTTAAAAACAATGTAAAATTTTTGTATTTTCAGAAATTCTATAAGTCCCATATAAGGACATGCTTTATCACTGATTAAAGGCAATTAAGATTTTAGGCAGGTGATGTTTGGAACTATATAATTGTCGAAAAGATATGTGATACTTACAGAAACCGGCAAAGATACAGTTATAGACAGCTTTACGTGTATAATATATATCATACAATCAGAATCCAGTAATTTGTCACATTACTTACTTGTCCCTCAAACCTGAGTGCACTGCCTGACACCAATGGCTTGTTGGCTAGGATGCAGGCATCATTAAGAAGGTACCTAGTGGCTACATTATCTGTGGCATCTAATACTATATCATATCTAGAGCATCTAGTCAAGGAAAAAACTTAAACAATAAGCAGTCTGCCTATCATGATAACCCAAAGTCATCTACTGTATCTTTTTTTTTTTTTATCCTTTAATGGTACACTGTTGAGTGGTAATTTTGTACTACAAAGTATATACAGTTGCAATGAATCTGTGCATTACGTTTGCCTTAAATTCAGTTAATCAATATTCGGTGCTGTGTTAGCTGTACTTTTAAACCTGAATGGTTATTTAATGATTTATAGACATCACAAAGTGTGATAAAGAATACTGTTGTATGATTTGTAAAGTGTTGCATTTACTAAAAGATTTAGCATTTAGAAAATCAGGAAAGCTAGTAAGTATATACAAGACTGGTGACCACACATAATGAATATCAGGAAAGTTAAATGGTTATTGAACAATTCATAGACATCACAAATAGACGTTGATAAAGGATACTGTTGTATGAGCTGTAAAGCATTGGAACTGTTCAGTTGTAAATGGTAGGGAATACACTCCACATGGGTGTTCAAGCTGAAATATAACCATAAATACAATAAGTTTTGGTTCACAAAACAAGTCATGATATCTTCATATGCACCTGTCAGTGAAATAGTTAGTATTTACAATAAAATGACTGATATATTTTTAGTTCTGTATTTAAGATATTCAAATTGGTAGAAAAAAAGATTGTATGTATGAGTTTTAAATTTTTTCACTTAAATACCACAATGCATTGGAATATATATTGTGTATAAAAGTAAGTATAAATATGGGAAGTGCTCAGAACGTGGTCACTAACCATTTCAAAGTTGTGGAAACTTCAGGTACTGATGGAATGAGGTACATTTAAAAGCTGAAGCATTCTGGTCAATCAGGAAACTAAGATTGCAAACCAGGAAATTATTCCTAATGAAATATGAAAGAGCCAATATGTTTCAGATATCGAGCACAATGTGGGTACTAAAAGATTTGGTACTTAAAATATCAGGAAAACTCACCATACCAAAGACTGACAACCACAAAGGATATCATATTTTGGTAACTTTCAAGTAATAAGCAAGAGAAAATTTTGGGCACAGATATTAGCGTCAACTGTAAATATATACACCCACTGAATAATCCAATAAATGTGTTGATAAATGAGGACAGTATGTATACTGTGAGCACATAAAGGGCTGATTTAGGTAGGAACTCAAGATGGGTATAAATATATTCATATTCCAAGAGATGGCACAAAGTTACTGTATAGGGTAGATTTAGAGATACATAGCAGTGGTGGACATTCATCAGACAATACAAAAACACCTACCTTTTACATGCATGTGCTGCAGATGCAGATTTGGTCACACCGACTTTGGTTTCTGTATGAAGAATCTGTCTGTGGAGATTGGTCAATTCTACCTCATCATAGTCCACTAACCCTATCCGTCCTAAAAATGCCAAACCAATATTTTTGGACATTTTTTCAAGAAAGGGTGTAAGAGAGATCTTGAGCAGTTTGAATGTGTACTAGTAATCAACAAACTCATGTTCACAGGTTTTTAAATATTTTAATATATGTAAACAAATGCTGAAGATTGCAGGTATTACTTGTCAACATTCAATCTTGAATTTCTTAAAAACTGATTCCGATTTAAACAAAACTGTTTAGGTTTCAGTTCAGAACAAAAATGCTTGACATCATGCCATAGTGTTTATACTTCACAATACATGAAAGTATTGAATAATATGTTTGTGTTGTTATCCAATTAACAAAGAATACCATACCTATTCCAGCTGCCGCCAGGTATATACTGGATGGGCATCCTAATCCACCTGCACCAACAACTAACACAGATGCTGAGCTGATGGACAACTGACCTGGAAAGATTATCCCTCAGTACAGTTTCATTTCTAACAATTTGATTATAATAAATAATTAAAATACATATATAGCACACTGTTAGTTTACAGAATTATTTTAATATACTTTATATTAAATGAAAATATTAATTCTTGTGCTACATAATCTGCAGAAGCATATTTAAATATGAAAACAACAAGACATATGAAAATATGCATTTAGCACAACAGGTATTGACATTTAGTGTCATTTATTGCTAGCTAGCACCATTCAGCAATGTTTGTAGCACCATGAACTTTAACATTGCTTGCTAGCACCATTCAGCATTGTTTGTAGCACCATGCTTAATAGCACCATTCAACAATGCTTGAAGCACCATGATCTTTTACATCACTTGCTAGCACCATTCAACATTGCTTGTAGCACCATAAACTATAACACTGCTTGTTAGCACCATTCAACATTGCTTGTAGCACCATAAACTATAACATTGCTTGTTAGCACTATTCAACATTGCTTTAAGCACCATGATCTTTCACATTAGTTTCTTGCTAGCACCATTCAACATTGCTTGTAGCACCATGACCTTGAAGATTTCTTGCTCGCACAGTTCATCATCGATTGTAGCACCATGACCTTTAACATTGCTTGAGGCACTATGATCTTAAACATTGCTTAGTAGCACCATTCAACATTGCTTGAAGCACCATGACCTTTAGCATTACCTGCTAGTCTCATTCAACACTGCTTGAAGCACCATGACCTTTCATATTATTTTCTAGCACCATGGTCTTTAATATTGTTTGCTATCACAATGATCTTTAACATTTGTTGCATGGTCTTTATTATTGCTTGCTAACAGCATACTCTTTAACACAGCTTGCCAGCACCATGACCTGAAACATCACTTGCTAGCACCATGATCTGAAACATCACTTGTTAGCACCATGATCTTAAACATCACTTGCTAGCACCATGATCCTAAACATCACTTGCTAGCACCATGATCTTATACATCACTTGTTAGCACCATGATCTTAAACATCACTTGCTAGCACCATGATCTTAAACATCACTTGCTAGCACCATGATCTCAAACATCACTTGTTAGCACCATGATCTTAAACATCACTTGCTAGCACCATGATCTTAAACAACACTTGCTAGCACCATGATCCTAAACATCACTTGTTAGCACCATGATCCTAAACATCACTTGCTAGCACCATGATCTTATACATCACTTGTTAGCACCATGATCTTAAACATCACTTGCTAGCACCATGATCTTAAACATCACTTGCTAGCACCATGATCTTAAACATCACTTGCTAGCACCATGATCTTAAACATCACTTGCTAGCACCATGATCTCAAACATCACTTGTTAGCACCATGATCTTAAACATCACTTGCTAGCACCATGATCTTAAACATCACTTGTTAGCACCATGATCTCAAACATCACTTGCTAGCACCATGATCTCAAACATCACTTGCTAGCACCATGATCTTAAACAACACTTGCTAGCACCATGATCTCAAACATCACTTGTTAGCACCATGATCTTAAACATCACTTGTTAGCACCATGATCTCAAACATCACTTGCTAGCACCATAATATTTAACATTACTTACTAACAGTATGATCTCTTACATTACTTACTAGCAGTGAGTGTCTTACATTGCTTACTATCACAAATCAACATTGCTTATCAAATTAATAATATAACATTAAACCAAGACAATTAAGTATACATAATAAATTGAATGACATGCAGAAACTGTAATGTTTTACCTTTGACTCCTATTTCAGGTAAGATAAGTTGTCGACTATAGCGTGATATTTCGGCATTACTGAGCTTGTCTCTTGCTTCAGATTGATGTTGTACACAAATATCTTTCTCTTCAACAGCTGTAGGTGTCTTAATGAATTGAAAATTATAATGCATTAATCAAGAAACCTTGTATATGCCAATATCATTCATGAGCAATATTTTCTTAAAACCCTATAACCCTCATATCATAGAAGTAAAAAGTTTGCAGTGTGACTTAGCAAAGTCGAGACAGCTTTAAGATGGAGAGATGATGTGTAAATTTGGTTTTTCTTCAAGATGTTTTTGTTGATGCATAGCAATATTTTTCTTTATTACTATAACAGAGGTCATTATCTATTTCAATGCCTCCGCTAGGAATCGGACCCGGGACCCCTGGCTTACTAGTCTGATGCTCAACCAATCGAGCTAAAGAGAAGTTCTCTCTAGCCGAGTGGTATACTGCGGCTAGTATTTTACCAGGGTTAAATACTCTCCCTCCAGGAAATAACTCATCCTCAAGTTTTCTGGGGTTACACCAATGCTGGTGGGACATACTATTCCCGGGTCCCTACATGGGCACCAATGCAACAGAGGTCATTATTTATTTCAATTTTACTCATCTTTTCAATTCATACCTAAATCAAACAAGGGACAGAGGGTATTCTATATATAAAATTTGAATACCACCCTTCCAATGCTTCTCAAGAAATGGTGATAACAATTTCAGATGAATTCCTGCATACTGTAAACCATAATCTAATTTTTTTTTTTTATATTTAAGGTTAAGGTTAAGGTTTTAGTCATCTGGATCTTTCCTTTTTTTCTCTTCTTTCCAATCCATCCCAAAATTGAATATGCACAACTAGGGACAAAGGGAACTGTCAAATACCAAGATATCTACCTGTTGTCAGTTTTATTTCTCTAATCAATCTCAAAAGGAACATGCAATAACAAGTTTTATCTTCTTCCTTCCTTATTCTGTTCTCTCTCTCTCTCTCTTAATAAAGGAACTTGAAAATTCTGTTCAAGAAATAGTGATAATGATCATTAATTTTTGAATGATGATTCTTTAAAGATGGTTGCCTGTCAGGTATTCTGTTTTTCTGATCAGTCCCAAACTAAAAACAGCACAACCAGAGTGAAAAGGGTAACTTACAAATCTAATTTGAGGAAAATCTGTCTAGTATTTCTCAATAAATAACGATAACCATCTTTCTTTGCGAAAATTCAAGACAATATTATCAGCCATTTTCATTTCTGATCAATCCCATTATCAAATTAACACAACTAGGGACTAAGGGGAATCTACATTTACACATGAAATTGAAATTTTAAATGAATCAATTCAGACCTCCGCAAGAAATGGTGATAACCTGCCCGAGGGATGAACATGAAAGATCTGTGATGCTCATTGAGCTAATGATAACTGATGAGAATTTAAACATGGGCAATTATGGGAGAGGCACGAGGATTAATCTGCAGGACACGAACAGCAACATGGAATCCTCGAAACATATCAACATATAGTGTAATGCTTTTCACAACACAATTCTGTTCTTAGTCACCGGGCAATTTATTAATTTAGACAAGCCCTTGCAAACTACATATCCTCTTTATCCAGTGATATCGGTCCATCAACAGCCTAATACACTGTTTATAATTCAGTCTATGATAAGTAGCTATATAGAACTTGTAATTGTTTCCGCGCACGTAACGTGTCCTTGGCAAGCTTCGGTAGAATATGTCACCACATGGGCTTAGTCTGTAAATTCCAATGAACATGGCATCAGCTTACCTTTATCGTCAGAAGTTTCTTTAATCTTTCTATTTCCTTATCCTTCTCTTGTAATTGCTTTCGTAAATCTGAAACTTCGCTTTCCATTTTGACGACACAATTTTTGTCTTCTCAAAAGAGAAGAGTTCCATATTGTTTACAGGCGGAACACGTGGTTTTAGCAGACGATGGATTTCACAAAGTGAAAGTAGAAATTTCTTCCCAAGAACATGTAGTGATTCAAGAATGACGTTTACTCTTGTTATTAACGTTCTTAAAAAGTGTGGTCAGACGTTTAATTGCAATATTAAAACGCTGAACGATAACTCTAAGGTTCTTTTAACTGATAGACAAATTACTTTTAGCATGAACATTGGTTACAAGGTCGTGATTTTAATCCTAGTTTATAGAATTTGAGTTTTGTAAAGTACGTTATAAAATATGTGCTTTGGATGATTTTTGTTTCATTTCAGTTCCCTCAAAACAAGAAATATAATGTGATTTTATGGCAAATATCTCTAGATGCTCCACAGTCCCCAAATTGGAACGGAGACTTTTTATACCATGATAAATTTGTCTCTGACCAATGCAGTCTCTATGAAATGTCAGACGTTTCGCCCCATGACGTGTTACTTCCATATATGACAGTTTACACCAAAATGAAAATTCATAAACGATGTTTTGACCCCAACAAAAAATACTGGTACCAATTGCAGAGAAAATACCTGTTTTCCCTGCGTTATTGTATAAAATAGTATCAGTTAAAAGAATGTTTTAGAGATGAACAAACATAATTTTAGATTTTTGAAATGTACGAATTACCTTTGAAGAGCCCAATGGTGTTTGAACAGACTGATGCCACCTTTTCTTGGGAGGCTCCTGCCTATTTTCACTGACTTTTTGGAGAGTGTAAAACCATGTTATCTTTTCATAAACAGTTGTTTTGATAAAGAAATATTATTGTTAGTGATGTGGGCACATGCCCACTCCTTGCATCTGCAACTGAACCGATGTTTTCACAACAAGAGAAGATGAAACGTGAAGGGTGGTCAGTGTTCTCATAATGAGAGTTTTGGTAGTACAAGTGATGGCTACACTAGAAATTGACGTACCAGTAAATTGGATTTTGATACATGTTTGATATATATGTTTGACAACATCTTTTTAATTTTTGATTGATGTTAGATATATCTATTTGATATTGTTTAATTAATCATACTTCAATACTTTATCAGCTGCTTGTTTGATTGTGATATAAAAATTTCTTGTTAATAAGTCCTTTTATAGATGTATAAATGAAAGTTTTACTTCGAATTACAGCTTGATCACAATTATATCCCAGAGGACTTTTGCTTGGCAGACCTAGAAGTAGTGGGGTTAAGACATCTTGTATTTCCCACTAGATGGCCATACTTTCCAAAGTCAAGACCTGGTATTTGGATGCCACTTTCAAAGTTGTCCTTCAGCCATTTACCCAGATGTTTTCCATCCATGTCTTTATGAGGTCTGTGAGCAGCACTAAAAAGGATCCGTTGGTGTTGTTATTGAAGGCATGATGGCAAACAGTAGATTACAAGAAGGTAAATTATAAAGAAAACTGATCCACGTCAATAAGTTGAAAATAATTTAAGATGATTCCAAGATTTGTATGTCCAGCCAAAGATGAATTGACTTACAATACACTAAAATTAATCAATGTAATTTAAAATCACCAACAATCAGCGCTACTTGTCAGCTTATTGAATAATGAAAATTTAAATTTTGTCATTCTTTTTTCTGATTTTAGGTTCTACGTGCAGTACTCAGTACCCTTCCATTATTCAGATTGGAGAAAGATGTCAACTTTGAATCTGCTTTGTGGACAGCAATCCTAACGGTACTATCAGATGTCCATATTCAAGGTTGTGTCTTTCATTGGTCTCAAGTAGTTACCCAAAGAGGCAGTGAGATAAGCTTACACTAATTGATCATGAAAATATAAATAAAACTATTGTGATGGGATTTCTACATCAATTTCAGTTATTTTTCTCAAATTGTAGACTGCCTATCTACATGACACTGATGTTCACAATTTCATGAAGCAGCTGATTACCCTTCCAATCCTCACAGCAACCTGCAACTTTTGTATGTTGAGAAAGCATGCCAAATGTCCTTTGCCGGACCATCTCTGTGAGTACAAGGAGGACACATGGCTGAGTAATTCCATATGGGGTCCAGTACAATTGAATGTCTTCGGTCAAGTTGTCTGAATGAACATTGATCACAATGGTCTTCCTGCATTCAAATCTGATAATATGAACAGCATAGATATCTTGTGACTACTGTGTTGTTATATTCAAATAGTGAGTTGAATTACGAATTCAACATTTTACAAGTTTAGGCCTTCCAGAAAGAACAGAACAGAAGAACAGTTGGACAGTAGATCTTTGGATGAAATGAGCTAAAATCAGCTCTTTTTAAAACTGATTCAAGTCAAAAGTCAAGGGTAATACTCTCCATCAGAGGCCTAAATCTGCTACGAAGTTTTCTGTCTTAATGTTATTTAGCATTTTGAACTCACATTAACTCACCATTGCTAGTGTTTCAGTAGATCACCATGTCTAAATAACACAAAAGTACCCAAATCTAGTTTTAGAATGTCAAATTTTATTTGAACACTACTTCACCTCACAATTGATAAAACATATATGCAGCAAGATAATTTATCACAAATAACAGGCACTGTTAAAAATAAAAATCCTCGGTAATCACCAATTACTCAGGGATCTTGGCACCATCTATTATTTGATCTTTCATTGTTCCTTATTGAAAATGATAGTCACCCATAATTCTTTTTTGAAATGATCAGTCCCAAAAATCAAAAGTGCAAACTACTGAGTAGGAGGAACTTTATGTGACATTTGAGAAAGAAACATCCTGTGCTTCTTGAGAAATAGCAATAACAAACTTTCAATGTGAAGATCCAACATGGCTGCATGTCAGCCAGGTTGCTTTTCTGATCAGTCTCAAAATCAATCGGACACAATTTGTTTGCTTCTTGACCAGTCTCAAAATCAAAAGGGCAAAACTTAGGGTCATGGAGAATATACTCGTAAAATCTGAGAAACATCCATTCAGTACTTGTCAAGACAAGCAATTACAATCTTTAATTGTCAAAATTCAAGATGGTAGCAAGTCAGCTATTTTATTATTTAAGACATTAAGGAAATTAAAAAGGACCAAATTTGAGGAAAATCTTTCCAAGACTACTTAAGAAAAAGCAATACAAACTATCATTGTCAAGGTGGCCACCTGTTAGCCATTTTGTATTTTCTGAGAAGTCCAATTACATACGTGCACAGCTAGGGACCAAGGGGAACCTACATATTAAATCAGAGAAATATTCCTCTGGTATTTCTCAAGAAAAAGGAACAAGAACTGTTTACTAAAATGGACCACAGACATGGACAGAGGGCGATTTGAATAGTCCACTGTCTGATGATGATGTGCTAAAGATTGAATGATGTGAACAAAATATGTCTCTCTTTAACACTTCAAATCAAATCCTTAATGTATTTTTTAGCAATAAAAACAAGCCTTGTTCTGTGGTTATTATCATACTTTCTTAAAGTCCAGAAATATGCTACGTTAAAAGGACTAATGGTAATGTATATAGACAATTATCGTATCTATTTTACATATAGGTCCTGGAATGTTATTGTAATTCTCATACACATATAGACCTTTTAACTAGGTAAAAAATGGGTAAGATTCTCATCAATAAGTCTCCAACATATTTATTTTGTATCTATAAATAAATATAGATTTTACTTTGGAATTTTCAAGTTACAGATAACTATCAAATTTCAACGGAATGTTTGCCACTTTTTAATATTTTGTATGCATTTTTAGACACAATAATTTAATTATTATGTAAAGAATGGAATTGAAGATTACAAGCATTGAAAATCTATGGGTGTCAAACCTGTGGTGGAGCAATCCTCTGACACCTCCCTCAGTAACTATCTGCCTTCATTCTTATAAAGTTTTCAACCAAAAACTTAGTATGGGTGTATTTTATCTAATTTCCTTATTCCAGAGTATTTGTATGACGTTTTTGTCTTTGCATATATTTATTCTAGCATTATCTATTTTTGTTAGTCTGTCTATGCTGTACATGATGTGGTAGTTTGATACATGTTTTCTTAAATATATATAATATGTATTTTACAAATCACAAAATTTCACATTACTTAGGTTTATTTGAAGAATAATTATTTTCGTTAAATATTGAAGAAGTGCCAGCATGTATCTGTATGTGACTTTAGCTACAAGTCTGTTGTATTCTGGTTCATTACTATATTGTTATAGCTAAAGTAAAACTTTCAGAGTATTTTTTTTTGTATGGCATTTTATGAATATTAATATATCTTTTATATATATATTAGAAGTAGGTGACAATTTTATCAAATTTTACATAATATTTCTGAGTACACTGGATAAAACTGAATTTGATTCATTATAACCAAGTTGAGAAAACCTGTATCAAGCGGTTTCCACTGTAGTTCCAAACACAGGCAAGACTGAGTAACATATTGAGATCAACGTAACACTGAATACACAAATAAAATTACATAGTATACGTAATAAAATTGAAATAAATAACCTGACTATGAAAAACTACAGTATTTTGAGGTATCGTAAGTTAATGTAATACAACCAGTGCCATCATATCACAGGTATTCACATGGAAAAATGAGGAAATAAATTAGATGTGTAATTACAATATATTTTTTCTCCCTTTTCAAGACAGACACCTATGTTTAGAACTTTATAATACCGTCTATGTATAACCCTCAGCAATTATTTTAACTCTGGTATTTAATTTAATTACAGCAAGGTTAAATAATGATTCATGATATCAACTAATGCATTTTGGTTCCTGAATCTATGAAATGAAACCTCACAACGAGGTAACATAATATATGAAAGAGTGATGTTGATAACAGAGAAATACTCAGTTCGCCAATGTAAGATTCATCTTCTTACCAGTCACAACAATATAATTTTTTTCCTTTAATAAACACTAAAAAGACCAAATTTATCTGAAGAGGCTGTATGTATAATCTTATCATCTGTGTTGATTACGAAAGTCAGATTGGTCCGATATATTTTTTGTAAGAAATTGAAAAAAATTGCATTATTGTGACTCATTTTTTTTAATAAAGATACAGAACGATTTTTTGACATTCAATGCAATTGTAAGGAAAAAAGTGGCATGGAATGTTTAAAGACTGTCTGAATACAGTGTATGTGAGGTGTATGCATAGACTTGCACACATTTTTCTGAAAGTCTTGATAGTTACACATGTATGTAACGTACTTGAGCAACATCAGTTATATTCTTAAAGACGAAGCTGCTCTCACTTATTTATGTAGAAGGACATTACTACCCAACACTAAAAATATTATTAGAAAAAAAAGTTTTAAATTAGTGGTTACCATATCAATATTTTGGTGAATTAAATTTCAAATTGAAATAAAAAGATTAAAATCAGTAGATTGAGCAAGATAAAATGCTGAAAGCCCATAACTTGCTGACCCAACTTTAAAACTTTACCAATTAACTGCAAAATAAATTTGATTGAAATGGCATAGCACTGCATATAGTGTGGAAAACAGACTTGATCAACTCCATATTGTGAAAGTGATAAAAACATTTAACTGATTACGAGTGTAAAGCTTTAGTACCTAAAGTTCAATATTTCAGCATTCAGAAACAAAATTGATAGTATTAACATTAAGTTTCAAAATAAATTCATGATATTCATGAGGGTGCAATAGAGTATATGACAAAAATGGAAAATATACATTAAGTAAATAAGATCAAATAGTTGAATTGGTCCATGTTATTTCTGATTAGCATTTATCAGATTACATCACTTAGTTCAAAGTAGAGCAACTGGTTATAATTGTTGTATAATCAAGAGAAAATACAAATGAAAAAATAATTGCTGTAAAAATTTTGGGACTTTCACTGAATGAATTTTCGACTTTTGATTTCAGAATGTAAACAAATAAAATTTAGATACATACTTAATATACATAACAATATATGTATAACAAATGATCATTTAAAAATTGATGTACATTTGTATCTGATAATTGATTGAACAAATGGATGCCTTAGAATCAAAACTGCGGCATGGTTTCTCAAATCAATAAACTCACTTTAAATACATTATAGTGCATGAACTGATAAAAAATCAACATAAATTAACAAATTTACCAACATTAACTATATTGATTAGATAAAGCATGCTTCTTGGCTTGGAAGACCAGCATGAGCATTAAGATGATTGAGCCCGTTCTCACAGGACCCATTATCATGGCAGAACTTCCATATGCAACAGGAAACTCTACCAGAGCCATGTAAATAGACAGTAACAGCATCACCGTCAGAGGAACACATATACAACACAGCTTGTTTTTGCCAGACCTCCGTCCTTGCCTCTCCTCTTGCAAGAACTGAATCAGGTATCCAAGAAATAGCAATAGAGGAATGTTGAAGACAACAATCTGAAGGAAGGAAACACCAATTGTAAGGTCACAATATTAAAATGCACGAATGAAACACATGACATAACACTATGATATAAAACATTTACTGAAAAATGACAAGGTAAGATTAATAGATATATGTAGGGTTAACATAGGTTTATCACGCTTAAAAATTGTAAACCCTGGGGAGAGAATAGATAATCCAACATATACCAAAATCTAACTGAATTCAAATATACTTAAAGGGCTTTGTGCAGTATTTACCCTTGATTGGAGAATGGTGACAATTTACCATGCATCATCAGAGGTAAATGAAATATAAACATGCCATTTCAAAATTATTAGAGAGCACTAAAATTTTCCTTCATATTTCTGTTTTATCACAATTATTGAACAGACATACAATATCAAATATCTCAATATTTTGCAATGTGCATGAAGATGGCAATAGCATGTGTGGACCAATTCATGTCACTTACCTGAAATATACCATACAAGTAGGCTAGTGAGCCTGGAATAAATGCCCCTTTAACATATAATCCCCAGATGAAAACCATTCCAAAGTGTCCTTCCAGTATTTCAGCCACAAACCAAGGACCTGTAAATGCCAGAGGCAAAGACATGGGTGCAAATAAAATCAATTCATCTTGGTTTAGGTCAACATTTAATGATAATTCTTCATGATATTGCATGTATATTTTTAACTTTTTGAATTGGGTGGGAAGAATTGCCAGTAGAGAATTGCAAATAGCAGAAAAATCTCCAGAAAATATTCTTTTTATTCTTCAACTCTGTTAATGCAGTCTTGTAATCTAGAATATGTGGATAAAACTGGAGACAAACTGCAATGAGTTGGATTATATCTCTTTGAAATTCACATAAAATCATCCTGTTTTAGATTTGTTTTATTACAGTAATGACCATCGGAGTTACTAAGTTTTATTTGGAGCTATCCAATCATGACGGGGAGATCTGCAACAATATGTTTTATCCACATTGCACACGAGACAAGACGCCTACTCAAAACAGTGCAGAACAATTCGTAATTTTGAGTCTGTGTGTCCAGTCATGTTTAAAAATCAGTTCATTCAGTTTATATCTTGTTTGAAATCAGTGACTTTGAAAAGTTTAAATCCATATGTCTTTTATGAAACGGGGAGGAATGTGTTAATGGCCACTGAACAATTGGTGGTTTTGGAACTGTGTGTCCATCACTAGATTGTGTGTCTAGTACCCGTATGGGTGGGTATTGGTAATACATTACTATACTAAAATTAGTAGAAAACTGTTGAATTTTAATGAATGTTCTAATCAAGCTGTTCAATATTTCAATTTTACAGTAATTTCCTTGCATTTCTTACTCACCTATTTTGAAAGAATTACTACATCGTGAAACATAATGATACCGGTTAAAATGTAACCATTGCATGTATAACACTATTGGTATCAAATCAAACAATCTTCAAAGCTATGGTAATTGATGATCAATCAATGTAGTGATGTCCATAAACCAAACAGTGACTGAACAACTTATCAAAGATTAGATAGTCAACTGTCTGTTAGTCATGTAGGTAACTATCTAAAAGATCGTTAGTACTAATTAAGAAGAACAGCTAATAGACAACAAAAAACATCACCGACTTACCAATACCGATGTAAAGAGTGTAGCTGACCAATGGATAGAAAAGAGGAGAGATGCGAGAGACAAGCCAGATCCGCAGTAACCAACCATTGATGAAACTGACCACTGGTCCACACATAGGCAGGATATATCTACCTAAAATGGAAATAAATAAAGGTACATCACTTCAAATCAATCAAATTAATGATCTAACATATTAATGGATAAATTGATGTGAATTCTTCAATGGAAATGTATGTATATTTTAACACAATACAATTTTCATGTGCAGTTCACATCAAAATACACTCTTGTGAATGCCAATATTATTATACATATTTTTATTTAACTGTTGTTAACTTCCTCAGCTTTCAAATATCATATCTGTTCAAATTGACAAAACATTGAAAAAATATCCAACCTCTGATATAGATGGTTCTGATGTTATCACAACTTCTGAGAAGTATTAGCACTCCGATGTAGGTACATGACAAAAACCAGAATAGAAGCTTCGCCTGAAAATATATAAACACAACTTTTAGAGCTGTTTTCATACCTACCTGTTCTGAACAACCATTACATTAACAAATTCTGTAATGAGTCGGCATCATTTATTGAACGCCCATTTTTATGAAAACAGTAGTGTCTAAGAAGTTGACTTCTGTTCACTAATCTGTGTAACCAGTTTGACAGTGTCATGGTATTGGTTTGATGCCGGGGTGAATGATGTTACATCATCTCGTGAGTGTGGTCAAATGAGAAAGATATCTAAATATCTCCGCCATACTGTGAGTATTTTGCGAACCATTTTGAGAAGGTAGATTTCAATGTAGTCCATAAATAAGATGGTGTAGATAGGTGCCATTATTTGTTATTGAAGGTAATGTGTATCATTAAAACTGAGACTGTTGGCAGCTGGCTGTTCTGAAGTATGGGACCTGTAAGTGCAGGTATAAATACCTGACTCCAGCTCTAAGTCTTCTGAACATTTCCTTTTCATTAATTGTATGTCTAAGTCGTATGCAATCACCCTGCACACTATAAGGTATCCACACCTAGATAACAAACCCAATACACCACCATGAAAAAGCAAGGTGTTAGCTCCTTTTCCCCTTTTCTGAATTACGTACACTTTATACAAAATTGAATGACCTGTTTATGTTTAAACCATCTATTATTGAAAATTACCTACCAAGTTGTGGACATTGACTGTCAGTATATAGGCTGGAAAGGAAGGGAGTTCTAATCCTTTAGAGTCAATGGTAAATGGCTGGGTCACATCACGACCTCTCTGAGCAGCATCCTTAAAAAGTTTAACATTCAGCTTATTGAGCTTAATACCTTATTTGATAGTGATACTAGTAACACTATGATTATAAACATATTTGATGGTATTTAGGGAAAAAATATTCATAATAATACATCAATTTAAAAAAAAAAATGTATTTCATCAAAATAGCCATAAAGTAAAATGCAAATTTAAAATAAAAAGATATTTATTACAGATCATTAAAAACTTCAACATAAATATCACTTGTGGCATTCATAGCTTTATTAACTCTAAAGACTTATAAGGTAGATACCTGTACAACCACTCTCAATTTGTGTATACCATTCCTGTACTTATTAGGTTGCCATGGTAACACAAACAGTGGTCCTTGCACTTGGTGAGCTGGTCCCACGAACATACCATCTATATATACATCTGCTGTGGTTATATCATCAGGGGAGAAAATCAGAATTCTGAAATGGGACAAATGGAAAAATAATTGTCAGAAAGTATATTTTTGAACATTTTCTTCAGGTTACTAACTTCAATAGAATAGAACTTCATATAACACAACCAGTAAAAGATTACAGTGTGATGTTTCAATGACAATATGGTCACCTTCATTAGGTTTTTCAGCTATACTATAATCCTATGTACACATCAGTTTACATCTTGTCACACTCTTTTTCGACCTTAGCGTACATAGGATTATAGTGCAGCCTAAAAAATTGTCAATTCCGTACCATCTTGTACACTCTTTGTATGCTATTTGGTTGTTTGTCTGATGAAGGTGATCTGTAATCAGTTCACACTGTAATCTTGTCACACTCAATGTTCAGAATTATATAATTATGACATTGCTGGTGTGCGAAACCTAAAGGCAGACAACTTAAAATGCTAATCAATGCACCCAAAACTAATTATCACTTTATTTTAATAGATATATATAGATTACTTGCAACATCTGGAAAATAGGGATTCTTTCCATAACTGACAGATGCACTGACCATTTTTCAAAATCCACAGATCTTTCTTATTTTACACCTACGGGATCTCCAATGTTTGTCACTTTGATCATTTGTCTGATATTTATACTTTCAGAGAAATGAGTTAACCATAATTTCTTTAAAAATGATTTCAATGCTGACACTTTAGTGAAGCAAAATTGATGTGTAATTGTTCCAATACTTACAATTTTATCCCAATAAATTACCTAAACTGTGATACATTTTCTGATCCATTTGTTATACATACAATGTATTCATTTTGGGTTTGTTCCATTACCATCATTTGTTGGTCCTGGAACTTTTGGATTTCAAATTAACAAGGGATCCCAGAGAGATCTTAGTGCACATCATTGTCTGTTTGATATTTACTCATTCTTTAAAAGTGATATTTTCTATTCTTTCTCTCCTTTCCCCTGTTTTTGCTCCTAATTACTGAAAATCAAAAATTCCTATGAAAAAATAGAATCTTTCATTGTCACAATCCAAGATGGTTGCCTGTCAGTGATTATGTTTTTCAACAAGCCACCAAGGGGAACCTACATAAGATAGCTGATAAAGATTCATCCATTACTTCCCAAGAAATATGATAACAACATTCATTGTCAAAATCCAAGATGTCTGCCTGTCAGCTATTGTGTTTTTCTGATCAGTCCTAAAATCAAAAAGGCCATAACTATGGACCATGGTCCATATAACATACAAACTTTGAATTTGAGAAAAAATCATCTAGTACTTCCCATGAAATTATCAAACCCATCATTCATTGGCAAAATTTATGATTTCTTGCCTCCCGTCAGCTTTTGGACAGACAGTGGACAGACAACAAAAAAACAGACAATAAACATAGGGCAATTCGAGTGGTCAACCATCTGATGATGATGATAAAAATAAAACAAATCCTTTATAACTAAATCAGTAAACTGAATTCTTATATCATTTTTAATACAAAAATATCACATCAAGGTTTGTTTTTTAAAGCTAAGACTTCTCTGATGTGGATGTAAATGTTTTCAGTCTGTTCTATGTTATTATGAGTAGTGATTTACCTGTATGACATAGAACTGTACCTGATGTGTGTTGAGTTGGCTGGCCTATCAAGGGCCTCCTTGTCAGACATATACATTGCATGTTTGGGGTTGGTCACCAATATCACAGGCCAATTGCCAATTTTCTCATCAGTGAAAGAGATCATGTCATGGTCGATAGCCAGGACTCTGTATCTGTAAATAAGTAATATGATGTTTACTATTAAATACTCATTAAAAATTGTTACAATATGTCTTCAATAATAGTGTCTTAAATGGAGATTTTGAAGTAGTTCACTAGTCAAAACAAGAACAATGTGGAGCAGAACAACTTTTGCAACCCTATATCAAAGTGACAGACATAAACATTCCTAATTGTTTTAGAAACACAGAAATACTGAAATGTAACAACAATTCACTAACAAAAAGTTCACTTTCAAAGGTTCAACATCATATCAATATCACACAGCTCGTTAAGATTAAAAATGTTCAGCTGAAAACCAAAACAGATCTTAAATGACCTGCAGCTTGCTAGCATTTTGTCAATTCCAAAAGATCTGTGAGACATTAATGCTCTAACTCCTTTGTAAGGCTAGAAACATGATGTTATCATACCAAGAGGTAAAATAATGAAATCTGATGAGAGGGTCTCAAAATCTAATACTGACTCATGGACAAACATGGGTAACATCATATGCTCTTCCCACACTCATCCCCACAACAAAACAAAATGGCATAAAAATCATCATGTTCTTTGATATAGTCATATTTTATTTTTAGCGACTTTAACCCAAGATAAACATAGATTTAACCATAATGACGATTCATATTCATGAAATACCATGACACATAATTCTTTGTTAAATATCAACTGTTTACTAGCGAATAGTATATATCACATGCAAATTTGTTTGAAAGAAAACACTGGTAAAAAAAATGATTTTTTGCATGCAATGGTTGCTCTTGTTTTTTTCCAACAAACCTACAGTCGATTATCTTTCCAGTCACCCAGTTCCAACTCTAGCATGCCAGTGTTGTGTCGAGCATGCATCTTTGGGACAAGTCCAGCCATGGTGTGGAGATGCCCGCACAGGTATGCTGTAGCATTTCTAAGAATACATAATAAGAAATCAAAACGACATTAAGTACAAAGATCAGTAACAAATAAAAAATCAAGTATTCTCAATAGCTCATGATACTTAGAAAGTCTTAGAACTCTAAAAATACACATATTCACTGAGTTAACCTACTCCCTCAAACTTAAAAAATATTCCTGTGAAATAGATGTGATAAACAAACACATTCATGGAATAAAAATTTGTTCAGCTTACCTCATGAGAGACCTAATTCTTGTTCCATTTTCCAAGATTATCAAGGAGGTTGGGTAGTGACCAAACCACACTGTCATGTTGCTTCCATTTGTTTCTTTCTCATGTTCTATTAGGCGCTTGATCTTCCTCTTTAATTAAGATAAGTAAAGAAAATTGTGTGTGAATGAAATTGCATTAAAATTAGCGTTCTGTTCATCGATAGTTTCCATTGTTTTCAAATTAACATTTATAACATGAAATTTGGAAGTTTGAAATTAATAGGTCTTTTTTTTAAGTAAATCTTGATGTTATGTTCTTGCTTTCTTATCATAATTGAACCAGAGCCGGTGGCAGTGCTATATAATTTTCAGGAAAACAAACCTAGGATTTCAAAATAAAAAACTATATTTTTAACTAGATTAGATTTCGATTTCTTGTGAAATTTAAATAAGGGCAAGAATCAAGAATGGACATACATTTTTGAGATAGCCAAAGAAGTTGAAAGGCCTCCTTGGTCCAGGTTCAGGACAGGCATCCATAGCGATGAATGAATATCTACCCCATGGTTTGTTGTGGTGATACAAATAGGAGTTAGGATGTTTAGGTCCTTGGATTGAGTAATTCCTGATGAAAAATATCATATAAAGATTTTTTTTTCCAGCAAATTACACATCAGCAATGACTTTGACACATTGTTGATGGTATATTTTCTTATTTTCTAAACAAGTTTATTGATAAATTTACAGCAAATATTTTTTTTCTTTTCTGGACAAGTATACCAGGGAGTTTAATCTTGTCAGTAAATGGAAAGACAAGAATATCTTATTGTTTATTTCTTCTAAATATTAGAAAAGACAAAAATATTCCACTCAAAAGCATAGCACTATGGCATTTATCTTTATCTGCAGTTTTTCTTCAGCAATTGGTTGTTGCTAATCAAATGATATACCTGAAATAATTCTTTTTGTCATCTTCTGATGGCACATCAAAATCATCTGCAGAAGAAAAAAGAGTATATCAGAGAATCTAACTGAAATTTAGAAATATGAAAGAAGCAAAATTGAAATAAATCTATATTGTGTCCTTTTTCTAGTTATTGTAGATGGTCTTTCATCAGGTATGTTTCCCTAACTGAACATTTGCATATCATTCATATTTTGGACCTATACGCACTCCAAGTTTTCCACTCTCATTTTTTATTTATCATCTGTTCCTTTAACTTTTGGCAGGTTCCAACATAACAACCTAAGCTGTGGTACTAATCATCATTTAACACTAAAGTCAGAATAACTACTTCTGTTCACAATAGGAACCTATAAAAGCACCTCTCAGAGGAATAAGATTTTTCTGCTGAATTTCTTCCAGTTTGATAGATATGTCATTTTCATGGATCAATATTTTCCTGCTTTAGTGAAAAAATGGTCAAATTATATTTAATACATAAAAAGTTACTATGTGAATGTAGAATAACATCAAATACACACATAACTCATAAAAATGTTACAGTACTGCAAATTAGTGAAAATATCATCCATGCAAAAGTAACCAGCTATATTGTGTTTTCTTACCATGGTTTCCTCTGATATCCAACCATTTACCAACAATATCATGACACTTCTGCACAGTTTCCTGATATAATTTCCATTCTTCTGCATATTGCTTTGATCCTCTGCCATCAGGTAATTTTGCATCAGTCAGATCTCCTACAATAGATATTATTAGATTGTAATAACCAATCTCAACAGTATTGTTCCTACAAGATATAAACATTATTTATGTATATGTGGTATATATATGAACATGTTTCAGAAACAAATCTAGACCAGCTTCCCAGTTAAGCTGAACTTTTATGATACCTGGCATCCTGTTGATTTCTGCTCATTCCAGGATACAACCTAAATATCAGACTCATTGTCATTAGTGTGATATCAAACCAATCCAGTGACATGTGTTAACACTACACTAAATGAATACTTTGATTTATCTTCATATGTATTTTAAATAGGTAGTTACAGGTGATTGGAAACATGCTCTTGTCTTTATATCTTTACTTTTCCTTCAGTGTTAGAGGTTTTCAAGGCAAGAAATGTATGACAGGTGCCTTGATGCAATCTGCACAATAACATCAGACAATTGGCTGACCAGTGGCCTCTTATGTCATAGTAAGCTTTTCCATGTAACATTACCTGACGCTATAACAAAATCTGGCTTTATTACTGTCAACTGCTCTTGGCAAAACTGTAGCAGATCAGGTGCTCTTTTGGCATCATAGAATTTGCTGATGTGGATGTCCGATACCTGTTAGTATAGTATACAAAAATCGTGCAATCACAGGAATGGTGAAAACGAAGGGATAGATGCATAAAATGAATATGTTTTCTTGGTTTTCTTTGATCAATATGTAAAGCAATTCTCTCAAGAAGCATACAAGGACTATAATAATAACTATACAGTAGCAATATATTAGGTACAGTGCATGGATGTACAAATTTCATGTCAATTCTGTTGTCATTTTATGTTTTGTAAATCATATGTCCCTCTTAATATACTTAGGAGGTGTTTAACTGCCGCAGGTCAGAATTTTAATCCCAATTACAAATGTACCAGATATATACATGTTATCACTTACCTGCACAAACCAAAACAATTTATCAGCTGCAGTCCCTAACGTTGCTTGCTTGCGTTTGTTCCTTGCGATCCCATCCGCATTTTCTTCCAAAACATCAAATATATTTGGAGAAAATGATAGCAGAAGGCCAAACACCATCAGCACCAGCAGTACTGTTGTTATGGACTTCATGATAAAATGTTGCATCCAGGCCCAACTCCTCAAATGATTGGAGTGGACCAAAATACCTGTTTTCATACAAGGTGTGGATTCAAGTCGCTGTGATTTGGACACGTAGGCGTAAAATTACTAGTCATTATGAAGTACAATCATAATTATTTTTAGTTAATGCTGATGATGTCATATTTCACCAGCATCAACGACCATTGGAAGCCACCGGAAGTTGAGACCATAAAAAACCTCCAAAGTAGAAGAGTTCGAAATAAAAACCGTAATCAGACGAATGTTTTATTTGTAGTGAACACTGTATGTCGAAATTACAAGCATTTATATAATTAAGTTACGAAGAATCTTATGAAAAAGGAAACGACGGTGATGAGGAAAAAGAAGAAAATGACATAATGTCATTAGATACAGTGGCCAAAAGTAGGCCATACAGCGAATTTCTGAAATCATGTTTCCTTATGGCGGTATTTGGTATCTCTTTTGCGGAAAAAGGTATGTGGCTACATGGTGAGATTTTAACTAGGCCTAACTTGGAATTTGTTGAGTTGATATTCCTGTTTTGTTTTATTTTACAAACATATCTTCATGTTCAGGCAGTTAAGAACATTCTTGGTTTTAAGAGGATGCACAAGGGTTTTGCAATCATGACAATTATTAGTAATTTTTAAACTATAATTATAAAGACAATAATGAAACAGTTAAGCATATTGAAGTTGATCCCTTAAACGGTACATAATAACTAATAGGCCTGTACTGTCAGTAAGGTTAAACTAATCAAAATTTATAGCATACTTGTATAACAGACTAAACAACACATGGCATTTTAACATATACTGTTTGTTATTAGATTACAACACATTCTGAAATACAATTATTGTATGTACAATTTGAGAAATGTTATAATTTTGGCTCAACAAAATAAGAGGCATTCCTAAAAATATAAATTATGTTTTAAAGCCAAGATTACACAAGAATCCCTCAGACTTGGATATGTATTTTTCCACCAGGATCCATTATCTAAAGACAACAATATGACTTCAGTGCCGATAATTACAAATTTCATTACATATATACCCTTTTTGAATATTTCATTGCATCAAAAATTGTTAGCGGCAATTGAAAATCTATAAATATTGTGTTCTGCATACTTTGATGGTTTTATTGGTGCAACGTTTTATTTGTAAAGCTGATTTTTTTTATTTCTCGTTAGAATGCTTGTGTAACAGATATGGTGATGTTGACCACTTCAATTGGTCTTTGATGTTTTGGCCTATGAATATATTGCAGGTTCTTGATAACATGCTAGAAAAAGTTGGATGGCATTTCATTTCTAATTACATAGCTTTTACTGATGAAGATATACACTTCCAGTAAATAGAGAGGGAAATTTTAGTTGATGGTCTCTTTTGAAAACTTAAAAAAAAGGTTAAGCTCAAATATTTATGATCAATCTTGCTTTTGGAAATATAGGTGTTATTTTTAGGTCTTAGATATTTAATAAAATGGTATAAGGGATAAAAAAATCTTCAGTATTCACAAATATCACCCAGAATATGTGAAAGCAATTTGAAAGTACTAGTCACCTTGCTATGAAAACCCAGTTAAAACTTTTTTCAAGCTCCAATGTGGGAAAGACATTTCTCTTTTCTATAACACTCATATATATATATATACTGGTATATATATATATTTGCCAGCCTGCCAACTATACTGAATTTCATTTTGGGAGATTGCACATGTCTAAAAGCAAGAATTAGAAAAGTGCATGAAAAAAATCTCATTCACTCAAAATGTATAACAAAACTGTAAACAAATTCTTTGATTAAGCTGCTCTTTCTCGTGGACAAATTGGATTCTTGTTATCAGGCACTAGAAGTTATTCCCCAGTATATTTATTTGTAATTTTGTTTCCATTTTTCCATTTGAAACAGTTTACCTTTGCATTCAGAATCATACAATAGTTTTCTTTTGAAAAAAATCAAAATACAGTTCTAAATTATGGCTTAGTACCATACTTAAGTCTTGATCTGTTACAAATGTACTCTCAAATTTTGTTATTTTTAATCCTTAGTTTCACTAGTAAAATGTCCTGGAATGTATTGTGGACGGAAGGATACAGGAGGTGGAACATACTCAGAATGTGGGGTAAGTCACCTATAACATACTCTTAATGTGATGTGAGTAAGCTGTAACATACTCATACTCTTAATGTGATGTGAGTAAGCTGTAACATACTCAGAATGTGCATAGGTCAGCTATCACATACCTACCAAGAATGTGGGGCAAATTGGCTACACCGATATCATACTTAGAATTGAATCACTGTAACATTACCATAGTCCAAACTACACCACCACCTTCATTGTACACATGAAGTTGTCTGCTTACTGTAAGTAAAGTGACCCAAGTCCAAACTGAGCTATAACATTCTCTTTTGATAAGCAAATTGTTTTTGGTAAATTTTACAGCAACTTTTTTTGGTAAGATCATTTTGGAATGTGTTTTAAGTTGCGAATGATTCCCTTTTTTGTTTTCATTTTGGGAAAATGTTGTACAAAGTGGGTAATTTAAGTATTGAATAAATGACAGAGTGGGGTAAGGCAATTGTAACTTACACCAGTTATAAAATGTAAGAGTTAGTATTTGGAATCATTGAAGCCCTATTTTATAGTACAGTACTGAAATGTAGATGTGTATTGTTGATGGGTGTTTGTAGGCATGTCCCAGAGGCTACCAGCCAGATCCTGACACCATCTGTCAACGATGTGAGGACTCACCAAAGTTCTATGACTGGCTGTACCTTGGTTTCATGGCATTGCTGTCTCTTGTCTTCCATTGGTTTTTCATAGACTTCACAAATAAACGGAAGAGGTATACTGTGGTACAACTAGAATAGTTGGTGTTTAATTGTAATTAAACATAACACTACATTAGGCGACATAAATGAATGTTTACCAAGAATCCATTGTGTAAGGTCTATGATATTTATATGGTTAAATATGTCCATTATATAAAAACCATAAAAATAACGATATCATGGGTTCAGTGTGCAAGACAATATCTATGCAAGTTTCTGATGTTTGATGTCAATTTAAATGTACAGTGAATTTTTTATGAATACTTAGATATACCTTCTTTAAACTTGTGTGAATGTGATACTATTGATAGTGTTTAAAATGAAACTTCATTTGTTCCAAACACTAACCATGAAGAAGTTTTTAACTAAGTACCATCCTTTATTACAGGACCTTGATCATACTACATGCCAGTGCATTGGTAGAATGTATACTGGCGGCCATTCTCACCCTTTTACTTGTTGATCCGGTGGGATCCATCAATATCCGGTCATGCATGGTCCATGAGCTGTCTGATTGGTACACCATGCTGTATAACCCAAGTCCAAACTACACCACCACTCTACATTGTACACAGGAAATAGTCTACCCACTGTAAGTAACATAACATGAGTCCAAACTACACCACCACCCTACATTGTACACAGGAAATAGTCTACCCACTAGTAAGTAACACAGGCTGTCAACTGCTTCCTATATTCCTGTATTTTCCTATTTTTTGAAAAAAATATTCCTATATTTTTCAGGAAATTTGTCGCCGATCAATGTAGAGATTGTAAATATTTCTTTGATACTGCTTTTATTTTTTTTTTATTTTTTGAGAATTCTTAAGTCTTAAACAGCATCACCAGCCATCAGAAAATGCTTCAGTGCATTTTTTTATTGCCTGTATGGGCATCTTGCAAGGCAGTACAACAGGATATTGGCCTTTTAGGTGTTCATTCAGATGATGATGATGATGAATTATGCAACAGTTCTTTGCCTGGATTGTGATGCTGTTGAAGCGAATGGTTACTTTAAGGTAGTTTTTAATCATTGATTAATATAAACAGTAAGTGAAGGTTAGAATTGTTAGTATAAATGCCATTGAATGAAACAATTTTCGTTCGTAAAACTCCTATATTTTTGCCTCCAAAACTAGCAAAAAACTCTTATATCTTGCTTCAAAACTAGCAAAAAACTCATATATTTCTTAAGAAACATTCCTATATTCCTCCTACGTTTTGAAGAAGACTTGGTTGACAGCCTGATAACATGAGTCCAAACTCCACTCTCCATTGTACATTGTTCATACATTGTTCATACAAACATGGCTAAGTTGAACCAGGGGATGTCAGGTATTTCATTTGGTCTGGTCGATTTTGACTTACCTGTGTTTTACTGTACTATGAAGTTGAATTGGAAATCATTTTGTTGTAATGTTATTACCATGAAATAAATACTATCACCATATACACTACCTTTCTTCTAAAAAGGAAGGCTGTTAACTTTAAACTGCTAAAAGTACAAATTTAAATCTGTTGCAAGTTATTCATGTATGCATATTGAAACCATTTTATAGAATTGATTGTTACAAACGTCTTTGGTTTAATTGAAGGTACACAATATCCATGATCTACTATGCCTTTTGTCTGCTGTTACTGATGTTGGTGAGACCTTTCGTGTCCTACACATTTGTCCAGAGTCGAGGCACGAAGTCAATATATGCTGCTCTGTACTTCCTTCCCATCCTCATCGTATTACAGGCAGTGTTTGGGGGACTCCTCTGTAAGTGCTCAAATTGCTCGTATAAGATCTTTTCGCTATGATAGATTTACCATTCTATATAAATATATATGTTATGATTTATTAGTATAAAAGTAATGCTGTTTCAGAACTTTGATATTTGTTAGGTACTCAATTTTTGGAATCCTTGGTCTTTTGATGTGGTTTTATAGAATGATTGAAATAAAATGTTTATAAATTTGAAAATAAAAGATAACGCTATTGTGCACTGTAGCAAATAAAAATATTAGAAGAAATACTATCTTCCACAGTGTGTTTCTACAATATAGATACTTATGATTTGTTTTATAGAAAGATTAAAAAAGCACAATACAGTGAATAATTCACACATTTTTCTTGTTGATTTTTCAGATTATGCTTTTCCGTACATTGTGATAGTAATTTCTATAATCACAAATGCAGTGTTTTTGTCCAGTATTTCCGAACAGGTAAGTCTTGTCTTCATCTGAAAATAAAGATTGCCAGAATGTAGGAACAGATAGTCTAGAGCTGTACTGTATAATTGGATATATTTTTTAAATTCCCCTATCAGTAAATGGTGTTTCACTGAACCCTGATGGGACCATGTGTTTAATAAATTATGTATTGCTTTGATTCTTTATCCATTTAAAGTGAATAAAGATAAAGTTGTTAAAATTTATATCTAAGTTGTGAAATGTTTTTGCTATATTCCTGTTTATCTTTAAGTGACTGAATGTAAAAATCATTTTGCTATCAGTTATCAGTACATGGTAAATGTATTTGGTTAGGAATTTATATTATGTATTGACAGAAACTTGATGTCCATATGCCACAAAATCCCTCTTATAGACTGGTGTTAATAATCTTCCTACTAAAGAGTTTGTTCTAGTCTGGTGACTAATATTGTTACTTGCATCATAGATTTTAGCCTGTGGAACAAAACACATCAGATCATTTACTTTTGTGTGTCACAAATTAGATGCTAGATACAGTAATATCTCAGCTTATCGTCAAGCCTTCTGTCCCAGTGAATTTAACATATTCTGTAGGTCTTTGTTGTATGACTTATACATTTTTGTAATTTCTTTTATCATTTGGGTTTTTATTTTATTCTAGGAAGTGAAGCCATTGCTGAAAGAAGCATTCCTGAATTTGAGAAATCTGACAATTCTTGCTGGACATTGGTTTCTTCATGCATATGGTATAATTGCCATGACACAATTGAATGACCCCAGGTTCTATGGGACACTAATTGCATTGGTGCCATTTCCAGTTTTGTTTTACATTCTGACAGTAAAGTTCACAGATCCTGATCGGAATGTCCAGGACATGTCCTGACATGACGCCTCGAGACCTGGGTATAGACCAATGGCACGACACAGAGGGGGCCTAAGGATTCCTTCACCATAATAGACCTTCACTCCATGCTCAGACGGCTGATAAACTTCCCTTTCACCATTCTGTTGAATACGTTTAGGGTTATTCCAAACTTACAATTATTAGTACATGTACATGAAGGTTCAGTTTTTCCACACAATATAACCCAGTGAAATTATATATTTATAAGTGACGTTAAAAAGAAGAATCTGGATTAGCATGTTATACATAAACATTTTAATAAAATATGCTATAATATAATCCTGCAACCATGGATTTTCTTTAGCCAGACTTAGAAATTATTATTTCAAAATTTCATCTTTTTTAATTGAATTCTTCAAGATTCCCTTTAATTTACCATTTCTATTGAAACATGCAGGCAGCCAACTGTCTCCCACACAGTCATTGACACTTATTGTTACTTTATCTTTATCAGTTTGTGTAAAAAATCACTTCAAGGGTATATTAATTCAAGCTTGATTTAGGCAATGTTATAATCTTTCTCACTTTCACAAGATGTTACCTTTTTTTCCTTCTAAAAGAGCAACGTATATATTGATTAGATATGGATTCATTATTAAAGTATTTTGGGAGTTTTTAATTGGAGATAAATAGAATTTGAATTTTGTTACAATGTTAATTAAGAAAAACGATATGATTGATATTTAGAATTTCAAAAATTTCTTTAGATCTTGTTTGAAGGAAAAGTAATTGATTCACAATTTTTCTGATTGTGTTTTATATCAATATCTCTGTGTCTTGTAGTTGGACAGAAAATGATGGAGAAATAATATGAAAAAATTTGCAGGATTTGAGCGATTCCACACCAATGTTCTCTTAATGTAGATAAAAAAACACACAAACTTGATGTTAATCATTGACCTGATTAAAAAATAAAAAATAAATGCAACTACAGATTTTTTGATGCATCATCCATTTATTATATTCAGCAATTATAAGGCCCCGTGCCTGCTGATAAGTCTTGTGTATTACATTTTCATCAGTGAAATACTTCAACAAGGAAGCATGATTTATTTACAATGTATTTTATTTTTCACTATAGTACTTTTGAATATTCGACCAATGAAAATGGGAAACACATCTCATCTTTTTAAATTGACCAATTAAAAGCCTGATACAAAATTACAAATCAAATTAAATGTAATAAACAGAATGTTTAACAGTGGTTTCAGAAATAACATATCTTTCACTCATGTTGCTTGGGATCTTTAGATGTGCTATGCACTCAGAAAGGACTATGAAATATTAGCAGCATACATGAATCACATTTGTTATTACTTTGGACATTGTTAAATATCCTGTATCTTAAACTAGTAATTTAAGTAGAAATATTTTTTTGAATACCGTTTGAAAAGCTCATCTCCTTATTTTGAATGGAAGGCTATAAGTTGGCACTCTGGGCGTGTTTCAGGATATAGACCACACAGTATATAGGTACTGGTTATGGGCTAGTTTAGCCTCTAGTGTGGAGTGGGACATATTATCAATGTCAGATAGTGTTATAGGTCTGAATGAAGCATTGCAAATTATCTATACATTTATGATCTGTAGAATAGACGACAGAAGTTTCTAAAATAGTTATCACTGCAGTGATTGTGATAGTGTTTGTTACTATTGTAGATTCTGAAAAAAAAGTAAACATAGAAATATTCCTTGATCTTATTTGGTTTATAGTCTGTTAATATGAACTGGTAAGTTCATGTGTGAGTGAGCAATTCAGCTCCAAAAATACAACCTTTAATATGTAATCATTCAAATTTATGCAAATGATTGATATTTCAGGAACTCACCTTTAATATTATTCTCACTATTGCCATAGGTAACACAAGTGACATTATCACTGGTGTTTTTCTGTCAACCGAAGTGTTTTTCACAGATTGTGGTACATATGTACCAAAGTAGTTTAATTAGCAATGCTGTGCCCAGTGTCTTGAGGATATGAAATGATTTGTATGTTTTATAAATGTGTTTATGATAGATAAAACAATTATTGTATCCATTGTTGCAGAATATAATGACATTGATGGAACATTGTCACTAATATGTTTGATTCTGTGAACTTGTAAAATGTGTAGTCATGTTAGCAGTATTTGTGTAACAACTTAAATTCTATTTTTTGAGTCAGTTACTCCCAGGAGGAATCAATTGTACATGCTTCAATTAGTATACATTGATGTGTTGTTATTAATGCAGGGTTTCTGATAATCTTAGCAACAATATTATTTTCAAACCTTTTGTTTTTATCTCCAAATCATGTTTTGAGAACTAAAGTGACTGCATGGTGATTAGGGTACTACTGAATTACATATTGCACACGAGTTCAAAAATACAAGTACCTGATATGCAGTGTCACCAACTCACCTAATTTTTTTCAGGTTAACCTGATATCGGCCATATCATGACCTGCTCAAATCGTGAAAAATGCTGGAATCACCTGGTATTTCTTTACAATTGACCAGAATTTAAAGTCTCAAATTCAATTTTCGGATCCAATATAGTCAAAGCTTTGTTAAAACATAACATAGAAAATCACCTAAATACATACAGATATGACAACTATACAACACAATTGATAACGAGGTATTTTTACCTGGTGACAGTTTGACTCTCTGACACCCTTGATTTTTAAGGCTATGACCAGATATTATTTGACCAGAAGTTGGTGACAATGGATATATGATGGTCTATATGTACTAGGTACATTGATAAATGTATCCAATTATTTCAACTTGATTATTGAATTAATTTATTGAGGTACACATATCATGTTGATGTATTTATGTTTAAGTATCATGATGTTGATCTTCATTATGAAACGATGGTAGGAATAAGTGGTGTTTTTGTGGATCCTTCTCTGTTAAATTAGTCATAGGATCTGCTTTCTGCTAGACTTATATAATTATCTCCCACATTTATAGTTAAGGAGTTACCAGTTGTAATCACTTGCCTTTTTTGATATTTGATGAAAGTTTCTAATGTTCATTCGGTAGTGCTTGATGTAGTAATATGAATATCACAACTCTGCTAATATCAACACAAAAGAATGCAATACCAGTAGTATATATATATATATATATGCATTTTAGAGATGTTGATTCACAAACGAAACTGATCAGAATTCATTGTAAAATGATAATGAATTTTCTTTACGGATGAAATATATTAGGTCAGATCTAGAACTTACTGACAGATTTATCTCAAAGTGAGATTAATTTTAGAACTACTTCCACATTCCTGTGCTTACACCAGGAAATATTTTTTGTCTGACTAGAGTATGAATTGCACTTAATTTAGCGATCATTGAAATCTTGATGATACATGTATTTATACTTTGTTCCAGTTGTTTGCATTGTTTTGGTATAAATGCGTTTTAGGTTGCAAAACATCTGAAGTATGAAAAAAATTTCTTTATTGAAGACATATTAATATTTTTCAATACCAAGCTTATTATTCTTCAACTCTCCTGTTTTAATACAGTTTTGTTTATGATCAATCATTAAAGGTTTTGAAGAAATGTCAGTTTTCGTTAGTGGTGTATTTTTTTAGTTGAATGTGGTCACCTTCTTTGAAGTTGGTCATCGCATTAATTACTTGAAATATTTATAAAATGCTAGTAATATCATTTTGTTTGATGCAAATTGTCTTTTGTCAGATACTGGAAAGAAAATGAACTTTTATCATTTCTAATTAAATGTAAAATTTAAATGAGAAGATGATACTGTAAATTCATTGAATTGGGTAATTATGTGAAAATGTGAATTTTTGAGAACCCATGATGTTACTACTTGTATAATTAATGTATATGTGAATAAATGTTTTATGTGCACTACTCTTTTTTTATGTAAATAAATAATGATATGTGTTTACAAGGTGATGCCACTATCTACACTAATCAGAAAGACGTGTGGTTAAAGGTACCGTAAATGACAATCATTGCATGGCTTTTCAGTATATCAATGTCAGTATCAATATGGGCATAGAAACAGCATGACATTTAGAGTCGTTATAAATGACAGCTCTTTAGGTAGTACTGCTGTAAATACAAACAACAGTATAAATGCAATGTTGAAACAAAATTTAAAGATCAGCAAATGTATTGTTGATGTATGTTTCAACTACTCTTGTACCTGGAATAAAATGCTTATCTGAAAAATCCTCGATATTAATGGTACAAACTCTCCAAGCTTTGTCTTATTATAAGGAAAGACTAAAGTAGCATTTCATGTATAATTTCCATTAAAAAAGGCAGGAAACACCCTGAATTATAACGAACATATATGCACGTAAAACAATGAACATTTCATGCATTCATACATTTTATGTATTAACTGACTTTCATTGTCATATTGTAATGTTTTTTTATATGGTATTACCACAGTTATTTTGAAAACAGTCTGTAACTACTTTAAAACAATATTTTGTGTTTTAATCATATTTGTTTATTACCAATACTTACTCAGAACTAGTACAATTACATACACTGAACAAGAAAAGAGTGGAAAACCAAAACCAGCTGGAAGCATATAGTAATCCCTCTGCTTGTCTTCTTTTAAGTTTAGAAGGAAATGAACGCTGAATATGTCTACATTTGGCGTGAATCCAGGATTATGGGTTAGATAGGGTGCACACGATTAAACTGAGCCATGATTTTTTTTGTTTCGAATATCTGTATGCAAAGACATGAAGTCCCTTATGTATGTCGCCTTCTTCTGAAGCCAGGGGTGTAGATGTAGGCAAACAGGGTTGCAAGGGCAGAAGCCATCCTATGAGGGCGTAGGCCAAAAAAACTATAAAGAAATTACCGGTATGATGATTTGGCAAATAATTTTGCTATATAAAGATGATATGCAGCAGCATATTTGCATTAAGGCAGCTTTGCTTCCAGAGGCTCGTCGTCTGCCTATGATTTTCTTCAAATAATTCTTATTGCTATTTCTTGGGAAAAGCTGTAAAAGGCCTCTCTTTCATATATAGATTTTCTCAATCCATTCAGTTCTAGGACTGGAGCATCAATGAAATAAAGATCGCCATTTTGAATTTTGACTGAAAAGCTTCTAACCACTGTATCTTGAGAAGAAATGACATGGACATTTTTGAAAGTTTTGTACGTGTATGTGTCGGTTTTCCTTGATTTTTGGTGTTTGATGTTCAGTTTTGGGCAAAACCAAACATAATATCTACAAAAGAATACATGTATGTTTTAACAAATCTGACCAAAATTTTTATGTAAGTTTTTGTTGATGCTGTCTTATCCATGTCTAGGTTTGAGACTGATAGAAAAGGTAATTCATGCTCGCTATTTCAAATTTAAACAAGATTTCCATGGGGCCTGTATCGCTCGTCTGAAATTGCTCCACCCAAACTGAATGAAAAGCAAGCAAAAGATTTATTTCTGTTTCCCTTATGAGGCACTATCTCTTTGTAACTGGGGAATCAGACCCATCGTTTAAACAAACTTCAGTTTTTCTTTACCGTAGGATGCTTCAAACTAAATAAGGACAAAACTCAAAAACATTCTTGAAGAACAAGAGCAATTAAATGTTTTAATGCGATTGGTCACAGTTTACACAAAACTGAATCCCTTCATCCAAGCATGGTTCAAACTCAATTTGAACAAAACCTTGGCATTCCTATAGACAAAGAAAAGTTTCCAGGAATTTGCCCAAGATCTATTTCCCCAATTTTGTTTTCACCACTTTGTGCATGGGCCATTCTTCATGCAGAGCTACTTTCAATTAATCAGAATGCATTTTGATGTAGGCCTAATGTATTTTTTTCAAATATACTGACACTGACTCCAAATTATCAAAGTAATATACAATAAATTTGACTGCGTTATGTACAACATGTCATTTCTTCTACTGAAACTAACCTTTCAGATGTATGAGGTAAATCTTTGGTCTGAGCAATGATGGTGGTTTTTTTCTTCATTTGCTGTAGAGATGAAGCCATTTAAAAGAAACAAGAATTTTATGTTTTATTGTAAATAAAGAACATGATCCATAAGCCCTGAACAGCTGATTAGATATCAAAATAAAACATTTCCTAGAAGTTATTAACTACACTGAAAACATTTACTATCAAATTCCAAGTTAACAAATGTGCTGACTGATGTGAAGTTTTATTTTGGATTTTTGAAATGGACATTTCAATGGAATAATTTACATACATGTACATAAAAGATACACATGTATATAGCCTAAATTAACTATAATAAGATTTAATTAACGTTTCAATTTCAGATATTTATTTTAAATTGGATTGCTTCTACGCCATTGGACCAGTTAAATATAACTCAAAATGAACATTTGTAATTGTATTGGATTTAGACATGTTATGTAACACTTCAGAGCAGATATAAAATGTTTGATTTTTTTAGAAATTTAATTTACGGTATAAATAATTCGTAATCAATGCTAACAAATGGCAAACTCGGTAAACCAGTTACACGATAAAAATAACACTTAAAATATATATTCACAAACTTGTCATCGCCTGTACACTGGTCCAGAAGATACGAAACTAAAGAGAAGATTAGAGTTACCTCCCATAGCAAAAACACGGGGTTGAAAAACGCAGCAGACACTCGGTACCGACATCAAACAAAAAGTCAACGTTGTGAGTCATAGCCCTTTCTAATTTGTTCATAACTCATCTGGAATGATTGTGTTATCAGTAATGATTTTACCATTAGAATAGGAAATGATGACATATAGAAATTAAGTTCTATCAAGTGTTTTTGTTCCTTCGAACTGGTGACCTTTGCAAGAGGTTTACACAGGAATCGGACATTCTTTATGTGAAATATAGCTATTATGAAACTAAAATATCAGGCTGTTTCTGTGAATCGATTTAAGCAGAGATACTTCACATAAGGAGTGGCCAATTGCTGCACAGTCGACACAATAACGTCACATAATAAATCGGTTGTTGTATAAGTAAAAGTTGCCAGCGTATGATTCAGCATATATGTTTTTTAAAGATAAAAAAATCCTTCATGTATGCCACCTAGCTATTTATTTTGTTGCTGAGATGTCATTGGGACCTACTTGACATTTCAAATAAGAGAGGTGCGTGTCGAAATGAAATGATTATTGCTTTTTACCTCTTCACTCGAACAACCACTTTAAGCAATTCAAAGATAATGTACTGGGTACAGTGAAAAAAGACAGCAAAATTCTTTTATACCTCAAATTTCCAATTCTGCCCATTAGTCTGGCATTTTACAAGTATGAAAAGTGTGTGAAAGATGGAAAAGATCCATGAGCGTGCTCTAAGATTTGTTGAAAGTGATTATGAGTCATCTTTTATTCAGCTTTTAACAAACAGTAAAACTACTCTTTTACACATCAAGAGACTTAAAGACATGAGCTGTGAAGTTTACAAAATTTTATACAAATTGTCCCCTGAATACATTCAAGATCTGGTGAAATTTAAAGAGTCTATTTATAATTTTAAGAAGGACTACACAGTCACTGTGCCAAATGTAAAGTCTACCTAGTATGGACAGAAATCGTTTAGTTTTGAGGCAGCACGGGTGTGGAACAGCCTTCAGAATGAATTACAGAAGTGTGAATACTACCCAGAATTCAGGAGGCTGATCCACACCTGGGATGGCCCGATATGTTCCTGTTCTATCTGTGCCAAAATGAAACCTTGATCTGCTTTCTGTGTGTGTTTGTCATTTGGTCTATGTTGCCAATGTTTATTTCTTACTGTTTGTTTCTATATATTTTTTATGGACTAGGGACCTGGTTTGTGGGGACTATACTGGCCCAACTTACCAGACCTCTGGGCCATCTTAATTTATAACCATTAGTGCTTTCATAACTTAAATATGCTGTGTCTTTATGTACATTTTAATCAATGGAAATACAGTAATCAAGTTACTACTCTGTGCATGTTTTATGTCCATACACGTATGTTTCACATTTTGTTTTTTATTCTTTTATATTGATATGTTTTGTCGTAATAATAGCTCCTCTGAGCTAATATTGACTTTGTTTATCATATACGACACAAAATAAAGCTTATTGTATTGTATTGTATTGTATTGTAAAGCGAGACAAATAAGTTCTTTGGGTTAGAAATTATATACTGTATATATACATGTCTATATTACTTTTGCTCGGTCTCTATTGCTATACTTTGTTATAAATATACAATTAATAGTTTCTGCTTAAATATGGTAAGGTAAAAGATCCTGTTACTTTATTTCAAAGTGCAAATGTATACGTAGTTGCATTAACTTAGTGGTTTAAACTAATGAAAAAAATTATGTCCACAAGTACATGTGTTCACTAAGGATGTGTCACAGAAGACTGGAGTACATTTCAGCTTATATTGATATGCCTCATTTTGAATGCTAAATGTTGGTGAAGTCTTCCAAAGAAATGACTAGACTGGGGCCTTAAATAAACAAATGTCCCAAAAATCTCAAAAAATTAAAAGTATGAAAGTGATCAATCCTAAAATTGAGAGTGTCTGGTATCACAGAAAAAACATGTTGAAGAAATGCTGTTGATGATTCTGTAAGATCTAAAAAAAATAATGCTAATTACCTGATCAACCATATATTTTTAGCCTAACTTTTAAATCTTTTAAGACAATATTAATGGATCCTTTTAGGTATACCGCTGATAGTATATTTCTCAAATTCTGTTGGGTTGATTCATCTCACACTTCCCCACATAATGTGTATGCTTTTGGAATGTCTTAATCCATGTCAAGAAAACATTGACTATAAAAAGAAAATAATTAATCTGATCAGCACAATTTCTTAAGATCTCTAATTTTACAGGTAGGACAGTTAATGTCCCAATTAACTAACTGGAGCTTTCAAAATGGATTGTTTTGTTCACCAAGCGAAAAGTATTGTCATTTCCATCCACGACTGCAAAATTTATATTATCATGATAAACATTTAGCAGTTCTTGCGAAGTCTTTGTATATCATGAGATAGACAAGTGTTACATTACATACTGGTCAGTATGAAATAATATGTCATAATTAAATGGTTTTGAATGTCCCTATTGAATTGTCCCAGCACTGATCGCGGGAATAGAATTGCTTTATGGTGCCTTGTTCCTCCAAAAATCCCAAGTAGTAAGACTGCCACAGTTTCAGGATATACACTAACAAAGTCTTTGTTATGTCTGATGTTTTTCAGTATCTTCACTTGTGGATGTTGGTGATAGCAGAAGTTAATGGCCGTAATCAATGGGAAGACACAGCAAGATTCAACTCCAGGTCCTTAATCTCTATAAGGAGTTCCTGAGGCTGTCTAAGCAGAAACCAGGATTAAACTCTTATATTCGCAGTGAATTCAAGAAAAACGCTCAATCCATATCCAAGACGGACATCCTCCATATAGAGCATGCTTTAAGGCGCGGTCAAAGGCAGCTCAAAATGTTTCAAGGAGAACAAGTAAAGGGTATGGACATATTTACCGGTGTCCAAGAGACTGATGAAAAATGACTTTATGCTGATAGTTTGGTTTATAGCATGTTTTCAGTGTTGTCGGGAACATTCCTTGAATCTGATCAGATTTGATTGTTATCTTGAACTCAAAAACTTGATTTGTATATTGTTTGCGGAAAATATCCATTACTCAGGATGGCTAAATTTGTATACCCTAAATTTGGAGTTACAAATCCTATCTATCAGAAAATTGTCACTAGTTTTCCAAGTGGAATGCAGATGGCATTTGCGTATGGCTCTGGTGTGTTTAAGCAACAGGGACAAACTGAAACATCACAAAAAATGATGGACTTTATTTTTGTTGTCAATGACCCAGTTTCTTGGCACAGACAAAATCTCAAAGAAAATGCACACCATTATTCATTCTTAAGAAGATATGGACCAGGTGTCATATCTGCAATACAAGAGTCCTCAGCAGGGCTGTATTTCAATCCAATGGTTCCATTTGGAGACAGACTAATTAAATATGGTGTAATAAGTAATTGGGCAATGGCTCAGGACCTGGTACAGTGGCGCCACCTGTATATTAGTGGCCGTCTTCATAAGCCAGTTGTGATGGTGAAATCTCCTGATGATGAAAAAGCTAATGATGCCCTGAAGACCAACCTTAAGAGTGCTGTCCATACCTCATTGCTGCTTCTTCCAGAAAAATTCACAGAGGTTGATCTATTTATGCAAATATCTTCTCTGTCCTATACAGGTGATATCCGCATGTCATTTGGTGAAGATCAAAATAAAGTTCGAAACATTGTTAATGGAGGTATAGACAATTTTCGAATTTTATACAAGCCCTTATTGTTAAATTCTGACTTCCTTCACTGGGATACAGAGAAGAAATGTTTTGAACAAGAATACAGCCATAGAGCCCGGCGTTATCACTTGGATTTGGTCCCAGGGAATATCCTTAGGTATATCTATAGTCGCGAAGTTGAAACCTTGGATGGTTTAAGGGATGTCCTGGCACAAGATCGTCAATGCAACAACAAATTATATGATGCTCTACAGAAAACTGTCAGTCGTTCAAGCAAGACACAGAGTGCAAAAGGAATTTTAACAGGAGGATTTTCCAGGTCTACCAAGTACGGTGCTGATAAAGTAAAGAAATGGTTTGGCAGTCGTAACAAATGATATTTTTTAAGGTACATTTCAAGAACTTGAGTTAATGTGAGTGTTAGTGGGATGAAAAATTGGTTGCATTAGTCATGTTCAGAAGTTTGTGATCCTAACATTTGAATACAAAAGAAAACCATATTTTGCTGAATGTTCAAATTTATCATTTCTGGCAGAAAGACTAACATGGCTCATTACATTGTGTTGATGTAAATGCATTAAATAAAAGATAAATAAACATTTTTTGTATGTATTCATTTAAAAGTCCCTTAGCCATGATATTGATCCAGTAGAATACTAAATGAATATCTACTATGTTGTCAGATTTTGGGGAAATGACTGTGACCTACTTTAAAGATTAACTTGACAAATGTCAAATTGACAATGTTGACTGCTTTTGTCACAGCTCATTGATCTTGACACACCTTCAAGATGACAGGGGTCAGATATGTTAACATTTTAAAATAACTTCTCCATAATCAAAAGGCCCAGGTTGTGGATATTGGACCTGTAGCACCCACTTTCAAGGTTATACGTGTCTGATATGTCGAAACCTTTAAACAATTTCTTCTCAATAACCAAAAGTCCCAAGATGGTGATATTGTATCTGTGGTATACTGGAGGTTAGGCCTAATAAGTTTATCCATATGATTGACCTTAACCACTTGTCAAGGTCGTTAGGGTCAAATGTGTTCAAACAACTTCTTCTCTAAACCAAAAGGTCCAGGCTATTGATATTGGTTCTTCAAACATAAGTTTTCTTCTTTTAAGAAGCAATAGGTCCAGACTCCTGGTATTTGTTTAGTGGCATGAATTTGGAACAGGATTTCAAGTTTGCAGAGAAAGTCTTTATGAACTGACAATGTCTTTGTAAGCTGTAATGTTGTTTAGCAATTTAGGCCTGTTTGGCCTCTTTCATAGAAATAGGTCTTTATGATCAGATGACCGTTATGGTATCGGAAAATTACAGGTCATGTTTGAGATATACTTTGTATTTATATACAGCATAACAATAACATTAATGGTAGAGAAATAAGAAAATCATTTTCAGAAATTTCACTTCCTGTAAAGCTAGTTTTTGGTGTGTAGACACAGTTTCGAAACTGCCCAAACAGTAATCTCCACCCCAGTGCAAAAATAAAATTCTGAAAAATATGAAACATTTCACCTGAGTGCTTTTACCTGTGTTTTTACATATATTACCTGTTACCAGAGATATCATACTAGATACATGTATGGTTTGTTTAAAATTGATTCTTTTAAGTTAATAAAACAACACAATACTGAATCAAATCGCCTGATATGAAATACATCTAATGATATTACATTTGACCATACACATTACATATAATTTTACATTATTTCCTTGATACACATAAAATCACAACAAGTGTACAATAAAACCACAACAAGTGCTCCACAACAAGTGTTCTTCCTGGATGTCTACAATAAATCACAACAAGTGTTCCTGGAGGTTAAAACCACAACAAGTGTTCCTGGACATAAAACCACAACAAGTGTTCCTGAAAATAAAACCAAACAAGATTTACTAAAACACAACAAGTGTTCCTGGATGTCTACAATAAAACTACAACAAGTGTTCCTGGATGTTTACAATAAAACCACAAGTGTTCCTGGATGTCTACAATAAAACCACAACAAGTGTTCCTGGATGTCTACAATAAAACCACAACAAGTAAAACCACAACAAGTGTTCCTAAAACTTCACAAGGATGTCTACAATAAAACACAACAAGTGTTCCTGGATGTCTAAAACAATAAAACCACAACAATAAAACCACAACAAGTGTTCCTGGATGTCTACAATAAAATCACAACAAGTGTTCCTGGATGTCTACAATAAAACCACAACAAGTGTTCCTGGATGTCTACAATAAAACCACAAGTGTTCCTGGATGTCTACAATAAAACCACAACAAGTGTTCCTGGATGTCTACAACAAAACCACAACAAGTGTTCCTGGATGGCTCTACAATATGTCTACAATAAAACCACAACAAGTGTTCCTGGATGTCTACAATAAAACCACAACAAGTGTTCCTGGATGTCTACAATAAAACCACAACAAGTGTTCCTGGATGTCTACAATAAAACTACAACAAGTGTTCCTGGATGTTGAGAATCCATTATTTTCGCTTTATATACAATAATATAGAATATATAGCATATATTGGTTGATATACAGGCAGAGGGCAGTTAACTGTGTCACTGTGTCATTAATATATGTTCAGGATAGGTGGGATTAAATAAAGTTACAACATTCCAATCAAACTTTGAGTTTGGGCGGTATTCTGGCTTCTCGGGCAGTCCATCCATTGTTTGCAAGTTATACGATTATTATATTATTTTGGTGTACCAGGGCATTTCCACTAGTTTATGAAATTCAAAATTTTCCCTTATTTGTTAAATTGACTGAATAAAGAAACGAAATGACATCGAGTATATCATATGCAAAATGGTAGAAAATAAGTGGACTAAGTATACACATTACAACCTCTATCTCTTTTCTCTGAAAAAATTACCTAATTGATTAAATGATAAACAAATAAAATGTAAATGGTTGAAGGAAGCCTCAATCTGTGTAGACAAATGCAAATAGCCACTGCATGATATTACATGTCTCCTAGAAACAGCCCCACCCACTCAACATCACATAACGATATTTGTATAGCGGTATGTATTTTTCGTGGTATAAATGAAATCGGACCGATAGTCTGTAACCATACAGTCTATGTAAAGTATAAAGATGGTTTACTCCAGTATACTTATTAAAGCTGTCCGATAATACGATCCACATTTTTAGCAGATTTTCAAAGCAATCCGCCAGTACAGTTTCATAATGGAAGACTTGCTAAACTGGATGTTAACTAATTCAAATAATGATAAAAAAAAAAAAAAAAAACTAGCAAAATTTAGGATATTGCATGTCTGTATGGGTGACATTAACGATTTTTAAACATATTCACCGTGATTTTAGTGAGCAAGATAGGCTTAACAAAAACATGCATGTTGTACATGTAAATAACAAAACAGTGTTTGTTGTAGTCTTGTCACGAGTTCCTTTTAGCGAAAGTCTTGATGCGAGAAATTGTCAGATTATCAATGTTATCTATTTATGCAACCATGAGCCATAACTTTATGATATATGCCTGTCGTTAAACTTACGTATACAAAAACAGTGTGTTGCCGGTTGCTTTCAACAGAAGCATTAACGTGAGAAAGACACGACGAGAATACCACCATACATGTATTGTAAGGTAGATTTCTATACAAAAACTCTGTGTGGATATTTAAACACTTTGAATTGCATAACGCATGGCTTCAATGAAGTGGTTTTTTTTTTAATTTACTTAAATTTGACAAGAATTGTAAGACACAGGCCGACATATCCACGTGTTCCGATATGTTACATCGGACTTCGATATCCGTGGTGCTACGTTATTGTCGCCCGTCCGTCTTTTTCTTCTAGACAATATTGCATATCATCATCATCATCATCCTCATCATCATCAGGTGGTGCCTGGTGGCGCAGTGGTATCATTGAGGTAACATCAAGTATATATATATATCAGACATATAGATTTATTTCATCCGTTTACATCAAACTTAAAATACATAGATAAAAGAAAGAATAAGAAAATGAAGAAAAAAATGTGCAAAACTTGAAAAACCGTAAACTTAAATGTACAGTAAGCAAACACCTATACCACTATATTTCTTTCTCTCTTCGTGTCAGAGTTTGATTAAATATATATTTTTTAAGAAAAACGTATTTCAACAAAGCAGACCAAAGGAAACGCATTGTATATGTAGACCTACAGTCACTGACGTTAAATACATGTACTGTAATATTATACTGCCTTTGAGCAAGATATATTCAGAATTTACCTGTAGTGCAAAAGCTTGTAAGCTCCAGCGCACAATCTAGTTAACTCAAGTGCATTACAATGTTAACTCCAGTGCACAAACTAGTTTACTTTTCTTGTGCACTCCAGCGCATTTGACACACAGCTTTAGTTTGCTTTCAGCTGTTGATGAAAATCCGGCAAATTGTTAGCTCAAAAATTTCTAATTGTATTTGATTTCTTCGTACAAACATACTAAATACAACGAAACCAATCATACGACGATATATAAGAGAAAATGCGTAAAATATGGCGATGTTATCCCTTGGCGAATGATTTTTAAGATATTGACATCTAAATTATTTCCGGAATTGAAAAACCGTAAGTTGTTTTTATTAGTAAAAATATAGAGTTACCTCCCATAGCAAAACCATGCACCAAGTAGCAACATAAACATGTCAATGTTCTGTGCATGCTGGTAAGTCAATAGTTACAAGGATATAGCTTAAGATCGACTCAAAATAGTTATATAATTGATACTTCAGGTACAGTTTGTATATTATCACAGCAGGATGGCAGTGCACTCTGTATTGCAGTTTCCTATATATGTTATAAGGTCCACCGTTATCAAACGGATTCGACGTTCAGCAGGGAAACATTTTTTTATATACATGTGTATGTGTAGTTATGTTTAAATATCATATTAATAAATCACATATAAAAATCCATAATTCACACAAGTAGCTGTTTTTTCCCAATCGTTTTTATTTAAAAAAAAAAAAATCACGATTCCCGGATGGCTATGGTTAGTATTGCCAACAGGCTGTTTGTTTTCTTTCGACTATCATTGATGACGAAATACTTTGATGAATGTCATTTTTTGCCTGACATAATAAACTAAAATGCATACGGAGTATTTTTTTTTAAAAAAAGAAACAGTTTCTGATGAAGACCCCTTATTATTTAATAATGTTACCGTTCCACAAAATGAGTTATCTCCCTTAATTCAGAGCAAGGTGGCTATTGGGGATTAGTTCAGTAAGACATTCATGGTTGAACATAGAAATTGATGTAACTTCTTTGAACCTGTAGTTTTCAATATGTTGATAGATAACTACATATATATATAAATGACATCTTCATGAAATTGAATATTTATATCTTTGCAGCAAAAAATGAAATAAATATCTATGGAACACATGCATAACCATTCAAGTTGCGATCAACAGCTTTCATCGACTCTTTGTAGTTTCTTTCATTTCAGTCAAAGAGTTTCTTCAATATTTGGCGATTAATAATTATTTCATAGTAATACCATTTGAAATCTGCATCAGTTTTGAAAACGAAGCGAAAGCCATGAAAGTTATGTATTTGGTGTTTTTCAGAATCTGCTACATGTGGATGTTGGCGACCCCGATCGCAAATGTGACAGTAATTGATGTTAAAACAAAGTAAGGTTGAGTTCCTTGCTCAATGGGTATCCAGGACGAACATGCTACATTTAAAGCATGTTTTGACAACGTGGTCAAAGACAGCTTATTTTTTCTAAAGAAAAAAAGGAATAGAGTACACACATATTTACTGGAATAAAACTTTTATTTCCTGCAAATTCAATTGACATCGTGAAGCGAACAGAAACGATTTTTGTTGAGTTATTCTATTGTTTTGTCGCATTCTTACTGTCTTGTTATCTTGCATATGATAATTGAAAATGGCGAAATTTCTATATCCGACGTTTGGAGCTGTAAACCCTATATATCAGAAAGTTGTGAATAGTTTTCCGAGTGGAATGCAGATGGCATTTGCGTATGGGTCTGGAGTATTTCACAATCGGGGCAAAACTAACGCAACACAAAACGTGCTGGACTTCATGATTGTTGTCGATGATCCAATTTCTTGGCACAGACAGAATATCAAACAAAATGCAAACCATTACTCATTCTTGAAAATGTTTGGACCAAATATCATATCAGGCTTGCAGGAGTCGTCAGCCGGGCTGTATTTCAGTCCTATCGTTCAGTTTGAAGACAGATTTATTAAGTATAGTGTTATTAATACCGTAAGATTAGCAGAGGATCTGGTACAGTGGCGCCATCTGTACGCCAGTGGCCGTCTCCATAAACCAGTAGTGATGGTGAAACCACCTGATGATGAGGGCATTCAAAAGGCCTTGGAAATAAACCTTCGGAGTGCTGTTCACACATCGTTGATGCTTCTTCCCGAAACATTCTCAGAGGTTGACCTGTTTATGCAAGTAGCTTCTTTATCCTACACAAACGAAATTCGGATTTCATTTAGTGACGATGAAAATAAAGTTAAAAACATCGTTAATTCAGGTATAGACAATTTTCGAGTGTTGTACAAGCCTATTTTATCAAGTACAGAATTCCTTCACTGGAATGAGAAGAAGAAAAGTTTTGAACAAGAATGCGACTCTAAAGCCAGAAGACATCATTTAAACTTCATTCCTGAAAACCTTCTCTGGGGAATTACTGTAAATGACGTCAATAACATTGAGGATTTGAAGGATAACCTAGCGAATGATAGTGAATGTGGCATTGTCGTATATGATGGCGTGGAGCAAATTGTCAGTCAGTACAGCATATCACAGAGCATGAAAGGACTTTTAACTGAGGGATGGTCGGGGGCTATTAACAAGCTGCACAGCACTCGTAACAAATAACTAGTTTTTCCAAATGTGATGATTATCATTTCATGAACTTCACGTAATTGCAATATGACTGACATTTTAGCCACTTTTGAAATTGTATGATCCGATTATCTAGAAATAAGAGGAAAAGGTTATTTTGGGTGGATATGTTTTGGTCCTTGTGTTAAGAAATTAAAAGAAATCAAATCAATCTGTATTGCTTCTTTATTATTTAGCTCTTTTTGTGTTTGGATGTTCATACGTAAAATGTGACACATACATTATTTTCTCTACTTTTGTTAAAAGGCGCTTTTCACTTGCTATTTAAAGTTACGAAATTTACATTAGTTTCTGAGAGAACTTTCAATACAATATTTTTTTTCACGAAAGCAAATTTAATATAAATGACATAGTTTGGATATATTTTATAGGAGGTAGCATTTTGAGGTTTGGTCTTATTTTAATTTGTCATTTACATGGAAATCACACAAACGTGTTACATCAAATACATGTCTTGCGTGTCATTAGCACCATTTAAGACAGTTTACCTGATAATCTGATAAAGATCTTCAGTATTGTAAAAATAATACTTCCTCGAATTTTGACAATCGGTCAATCATTGACACCACGTTATTTGGTGGTTAAAGTTAGATGGTGGGTTTTTTAAAGATAGAATTGATACTTGATGTTTTGAAAGAGTGACATTCGATGACAGTTATAACGTTGATATATGAAAATCTGGAATAACAACATGTGTTGTGTAAATTTACATTTCTTACCGCTTTACACACAATTACTATAGATTAGGTTTTAGCCCATATATATCATATGATCATTGCTGAAAAAAATGAGAGTTGGATATTTTAAGGACTTTTCTGACAATATTTCTTTGTTTCTTGTTAGTTTTAATGTCACTGCTAGTAGTTGTAATTGTTGATAAAATCTGTCACATAGACAGATGCTACTAGGATGAATTCTGCTGCATTTATTATTGAAAATATGGAATCAATTGCTTGCTCATCGAAAGGGTAGGACGATGCAAAAAGAAGTGTTGAATATTAGCTCACCTGGCCCTCCTGTAGGAATGACTGGATTTTGTCCAAATTTGGTCAGAGGCATCTTTGGGTGAAGAAAAATCAATTTTATATAAACGGTGAATCACAGACTACCTATAGTGGGAGGGGCGGGGCCCAGTAGGGGAAATAGAGCAATTTTTTTTTATAAATTCTACTCCTCCTGTAGGAATTATTGGATTTTCCCAAAATTTGGTTTGAACCATTTTAAGGTGAAGAAAAAATCAATTTTGTAAATAACAAATGGGTATAAACGATGGATCTCATCTCTCTGGGGCGGGCGAGGCTTGGCCCATTCAGAGAAATAGGGTAAATTCTTTAAAACCTTACTCCTCCTATAGGAATGGTTTGATTTTGTCCAAATTTGGTGAGAATGATGTTTTGGTGAAGGGGAATAAACTTTGTATAAATGATGGATTCCCCAGGGCAGGAAAGGAAGGGCTTAATAGAGGAAATCCAATAACCATATATAGCATTGCTGAACATAAAAGAGATAAACGCAATGACACAACGTGATGTAAGAATTGGCTCTGGGGTCTAGCCCAACCCCAGGGACTTTCTTATATCTTTGGAACCATATATGGGCAAGAATTAGCTAAGAAAAATATTCATAAGCCTACAAATTTTGTTTGAAGCATAACTGTAAATGGTGTCTTTCTATGTGTAACAAAAAACATTTTGAAACTTACTTCAGTTAAGAACAAAGAGAATTAATGAATTAAGAACATGTAACATTGACACTATTCCCAAACTGAGAAGGTTAAAGTTTAGTATTAGGTTTGTTTATCTCAAAACATTGTCCATCATCTCAACTTAAGAAATGCATTTTTCAAATTTATCATATATTCCAGATATTCTATGAAAAGAGGTTTCCTCTAATTGTTCTGTCAATGTTACATGTAATTATTAAGAGATAAATATATTCAGAATTATGTTCTTGGTAAACAAGAAAAGCCTTTTTTTTTCATTGTGCTACTGTCGTATAAAGAAAATTATTTTTGCAACCTTCTCATTTCAGTAATAAAGTAGTTACACATATGTTGCGTGTAACATGGACACAAAAAATATGAATAATAAAGCATGCCAGAAATGCTATTAAAACATATAAAAAGCTCCCCCCCTTTCTTCCCCAATACACGATCTGTATGTAAATTATAATTATACTCCCACATATCTCAAATATAATATCGTTTAAGTAGTCGCATGTAACACTGACACCGAAAACGTGCAACTATTTATTTTCGGGTCAAGGATACGTACGGGAATCGTTGCCACCAAAAAATCGCTATCGTGAGGTCAAACCTGTTTCAAATACCAGATCTACTGTTTTGTTTTTGTTTTTGTTGAAAAAAAAACATATTTTCATATTTTATATAGATCATATTTTACTTCGAATGCGTGCGTAACACTTCGTTACGTGATCAAAATTACCAGATCCGTGGTCTCCTCGAGTGCCTTTACACCGAAAGACGCTATTTTGGAAAACTGCAAAATCACGTGTTAACGTTACTGGGAGCGGGTCAAAATATCGCAAAAACATTATCGTTACGCGATCTGTTACAGAAATACAACTGTTCCAAAGAGAGGGGGTATTTTAGGGTAGTTTGGACACGGAAATTAATGATATTTTATTACCTGATATATTTTCCGAACTCCAGTTGATTGATGAAAATTACGACAATCATATCGTACCTGGTGTGGAAATTCCGTGTCGATGATGCGTTTCCAAATAAATTTACTGAGTTAAACGTGCACGTAACGTTTGTTGACACGAAAAATTACGTACATTGGTCTATTTTCAATCCTATTTTTTTTGCAGAATTAATCAAATCCTGTACAAAACAAGCGTTTTTATCGATAGACCGATCATTTTGCAGTTGATTAACAACTTTTACAGCACCACAATTCTTCAGGCATTTAATAAATACGCCTCGGAGTTTCATTCCTGTAGAAGTGTCACACTTTTTGCCTATAATTTATCCACTGGCGGCGTACAACTTGTGCTGCTTCCTTGTTATTTAATCAATTAGATCAATTTGTTTTTTCATTTGACGATAAAAAAAAACTTTAATATTTAAACAATGTTTATTCTCCATACTTGCATGATTTTGTCTGGTGTTTTTTTATTGGATAAACTACTTTGACACTAAAATGTCACTAGCGAATTCTTGCCCATATAACAGTGACAGGCATCTAGAGATAAACACAATCATGATGTTAGAATTGGCCTTTGGGTCTGGCTTTATCTCCAGGGACTTGGTTTCTTTGTTAGATCTTTGAAGCTGTTGAGATTCCCACCCAATAACCATATATAGCAATGTTGGGGATCAAGAGATAAACGCAATCATAATGTAAGAATTAGCCCTGGGGTCTGTCCCAACTCCTAGGGACTCAGTTTCATAGTAATATCTTTGAAACAGTTTAGATCCCAATACCCAGACCATATATGGCAATACTGGGCATCAAGAGATAAACACATTCACAATTTAAGAACTGGCCCTTGGATGTGGCCCACCCATGTGGACTTAATTATTGGATGCAATCCCAGTTGAAATCCCTACCCCATATATAATTTAAACCCCAGAATCGCTTGCTGCGCTTAAACCGACAGAACTTGCCAATGGTAGCATTCGTGGCAATCGTGAACCTGACATCGAATTACAGGAGTACTGAGAGAGGAAGCTACTCTTGTTCCCAACTCAAACAATGCTACTAATTCAACTGGTGCCAAAACGGAGGCATCATCTGATAACGAATCACACGAAATTTATCAGGACAACGTACATTCCATGAACATGAGTGATGCCACTTCGGCAGTCGTTATACGAAAAAATAGTGATACTAACGTGCTTTCTGTCACACTCAATGGCGACATAAGACCTGATGGAAATCGGCAAGGATATTGCGTAACTTTTCATGGTTACACCACGAAGCAACAGCTTGGGGTATATAATGACAGTTAAGATACGAGTGTCTTCATATCAGTTCCATGGTGTAAATCGTAATCAGGGCAGTGAGCAACGTTTTGATGTCTAGGATTACTGCTGACGCAACTGGTGTGAACGTCATAAGAGCAATCGTCGAATTCGCAGCTAAAGGAGGTATCAAAGTGATTTACATTATTTTCAAAAAGAAATGAACTCGTCCTTGTGGCTTTAAGGTGTCCTTGTTCTCGAAATTGGAATACGGTAATCGATTTGATGGTGTTTCATATATATTAAGCCTTGTACAGCAAGAGAGAAAGATAATTGTTTACAAATGGAAGTTGGTTTATTAGACATTTTAAAGAATAACTATACAAAATAACTTTATGTTAAAAAAAACCCATAGAACTGTTCAAAATGATTTTATGTGATTCAAAATGATTTTGTGTGAAACTTTTTAAAGTATAACTATCTAAAATCATTTTATGTTAAACATTTCAAAGAATGGTGATCCAAAATGATTTTTTGTTAAATATTTTAAAGAATAATGTCCCAAAATCATTTTTAAGCATCCTGTTAGGCGTAAGACACTGGGCATTGGGAATATTTTACGAATATTTTAAAAGCAATTTCTGGTATGTCCGTTTGTACTTACGGAAATACGGAACAACATGTTAAAGGTAATGAATGCATCAACTCTGGGTTAGATAAGGATTTTGGTTTAGATGATCTGTTGGAGCAGGTTAAGGGAAAGTCATCAGGGCTAGACGGGGTACTAAAGGATTATCTTACTGAATACAGGGATGATTTTGTACCAGTTTTATATGTATGTTATTTTTTTAAAGTTTGGTCGAAGGAATTATCAACCTTTGCATAAGGAAGGTGATAAGGTTATGTTAATAATAACAGACGCATTACAAGTCATAGCGAAATTGTCACGTTCTCAAATGAGAACAAAGTATACAACAACGGTACCAAGAGGCAAACCAACTATCATCAAACACGTCCACATCACACAAAGAAACATAATATTTCTCAAAGAGAGCACTATGATAATTGTAAAATTTTCCTATAATTCTCACTTTTAAATTAACGTTTGCTAAAGTGGAGGGAGCGAAAATGTAATATAGGATGCTCAGTCTAGTTTAAACCTAGTAAGGATACTAGAGATGCAATGTTTGTACTTTATAGCATAATTACAAATCTGTACAAAATAACAAAAGGCTGCAGTGTATATTTGTTGACTACGGAACACTTTTGGTAGTATTTTAAATGGTAAGTTTAAATTGTGGAAATCTGGTGTCAGGGGACTTTTGCTAAATGCTAAGAGATTTAGCTTCTTTTAAAGCGGTAAACACTGCGTTAGCCTTGCATGGTAAATTGTTTCCAATGTTCGACCAAGAGATCAATTTATACCAAGGAGAATCTTCATCACAGATATTTTTTTAATATACAATGACATAGATTCAAAATTGATTGACAAGGAGAATAAGATCAAGTGTTCCAGAAGAGTAAGCATCTTTTGCTTTATCGATAATACCCGCCATGAAAACCATCGTCATCCCAAGTAATGTCACGTTCTCAAATGAGAACAAAGTATACAACAACGGAACCAAAAGGCAAAGTAACGATAATTAAACACGACCAGTTTCATATTGCGCAAAGAAATCAAATATTTCTCAAAGAGATCACTATGGCTAACTTTCCCATAATTTTCATCAGCCTGCATCTTTTGAATTCCTGTAGTACGAGTTTGCCAGTCATTTGATGACTTCTTGCATGAAAATCGTGATAATGGGAATAGGTCCTTGAATATCGAATCAACTGTGACATGTAAACGTCGTGGGTTGGGAATGCACGAATGACTATCCAGAAATAGAAAGTTCACAATAGGGAAATTGAAATAATCATGCTTATCATACAGCTTGGTGGAAAGCTGTCCTTGTTGGTTTCCGTTGTAGATCGAGTAAGCGGCTGATGTAGAAATGTCTGTCGTGTCTTTGATTTCCAATTCTGGTAGGTATATACCATGGACATTGTCTATAAATTTCTTGTAATTTAAAGACGAGGCGTCATCAAGATATTTGAATGTGAAATTAAACGACTTCAAAGTTATCCTTATTTACAACTTACTTAACTTACTTAATCTGTTTTTATTTATGTATAGAATCGATTCTGTTTTGTTATCTGACGACATTATTGAGCTTCAAATATTCTTGACTTTTGATGGTTTGAATATGACTAAGAATGCTGGTAAAACAAAAATAGTGGTTTTTACTTCAGGTAAAGAATGCTTACTGGCGAATAGTGGATATTTCATAGAAACGGTTTGAATTACACTGTTCATGATATTGCTTCACATGAAACAAAGGCTTAAAACCTTCTCAATCGTATGTTGTAAGGTAAAAAAAAAATTTTAAAGACAGGACCAAATTGTCATAATTTGATACTTACATATTGGCATTTTAACATATGATTGTGACTTTTGGAGCGGCGACACTGCGCCACAGGTAGAAAAGGCAAATTTGTCAGTTTTGAAATGTTAAGAAAACTGTTAATAGTTCTATGGTTTATTTTTAATTTGGCCGTTGACGTAAACACAAAAAATTGCTTGTCCAAACTGATATGCGACAATGTTTTGAGTTTCTTTTCCAATTGATTGATTTTATCCTCGTCTACTTTTATTTATCTGGAGGATTTAGGCCTTCCTGTGAGCGTCTCAGGACTATCATTATTGAAGCGTACAGTAGACAGTTCGAGATTATATAGGGAAAAAGGGGGATCACACCCAAGGTATAAGTAAACAGACAGTAGGAGATATTACAACATGCCAAAGTCGTCAATCATTTTACCAATTCAAAATCACGAAGGCTAATCTTTTCCAACATTCAACTTATGCACAATAGCTTAAAAGACATCAACGATTATCGCCAGTAACAAACATGCTTTCTTTCGACTCTGTTTCTTAGTACATGATGCATGTGTTTACCTTTTACAATCTTCGGTCTAGTACAAGTGCATGTTCTGTGAATGCAGACTTTCGAAACCCAGTAGGAGAAAAAGCTCACCTTCACCACTTTTTAACTGTTACTTGTTACTACTATACATGTTAATTCTCTTATGATGACGTCTTAATGTTATGAAGTAGTACACTGTATCATGAACATGATTTTGAATTGTAGTGGCTGTGTTCTGCTATGATATGTATGTAAATGCTTATCCTATATAATTTGACATACGTTAAAAAGAAACTGATTCGAAATTGAATTCTCTTGTTTTTATTACGAAACTAATAATTGTGACGTCATTTACTTTTCTGACGTCATAACGCGTGTTTATACAGGTCATTTACGAAATGTGGAATGCACTAATTGAATTACAAAACTTAAAAATAGTTTTTATTAACTCTATGAATTACTATGAACATAAATTACACAAAAGCACCCACAGACGAAAAGAAATTAATGTGCATAATGGTGTTTGTTCCAAAAAGAAGGCGGATTTCCCCGAAGCACAGACAGACAATGTTTCTCATTACTCTTCAGAAGAAATATTTCATTTGCAAACACAGTGTGAACTGCATCCACTGGGTGGGGAAGAGATCCCACGGACACAGTTTTGTTCACACCATTTGTCCATGCCTTCTACAACCTTCCACATTCCTCTTCCGACACATCGGACCTTACGTTGTTTGTTAGGAGACTCAATCGTCGGTTTCCTTGCAGGGAAAGTATTAAGAGCGCGCACTTCTTCCGTTGGTCCGATCTGTAAGGCATTATTTGCCATGTCTGTTATTTCGATAATTCCCATTTTGGCCATAAGTTCTGCGTTTTCGTCCTTATAAACCTTTTTATTTAACTTAGTATATTTTGGTTTTATCCATCCTATGGTTGTGGTATCTGTAGATTGCACTTCCGGAAATGTGGTTTTCTCAAATTTTATTTTCGCTGTTGTCGTTTCGTCAGAATTATATCCCGACTTTGCACTTGATGTTTTATCTCTCTCATTTGAATCATATGATTTACTCGATGTAAGGGAATCGGTTACTATTTCTACGTCTGCACAATTATAGAACTGTTCTTGTTCGCCACATCCCATACAACAACGGAAAGACTGGTCACATCCCCAGCTGTTTCCTGAAATGTAAGAAAAAAAGAAATATTACAAAAAAGATATAAATCTGGCCATGTTTTCACGTTTTCAAAGTAAGATAGTCACCTAAAAATATTGAAGTTTTTAATGCTGGTCTTGGTTTTTTGGGAAATTATTGTTTTGAAAACAGCTCACCTACGTCACAGGTTTTTTTTCAGAAATGAAAGTTGATGAAGTTGGAAAGTTTTATGCGGAACTATTCTATTTTCTTCTGATGTTGACATGTCGGCTTTTATTAATTATTTATCTTCCAGTACATGTACGAATTGCTGTTGATATAGTAAGTACGGGAGATAAGTACCTGCATTGTATTTCCATTGAAGCACACATTGATTGCATGTTACCCCAACCGGAAGCTGCAGAGAAATCACATGACTTCTCATCGAGAACCCTGGGTAATACCTCGTTTTACCTTCAGGTGAATGAAGAAGATGACGATTAAGACACTCTTGAGTGAGGGGATCGTATTTACTGTTGCGCGCACACAGCCTAAACTCAAACCACCCACCATGATTTGCTGAAAGATCGACTTTCACTACAATCATGGAGTCTTGCAGATATGATTTAGCAATGGTCCCTGTAGCAAAGACACCGCCATCTTCATTCGCGCGTTCCCCGTTGTAGCTATCTCCACACAACCCACATTTGCCGCCATTGTAGTACCAATGAGTCTGGAAATAACATCAGAAACAGGATTACATCACATCACGCACCGATTGAAATTTGAGAACAATTTGTTTAAAAAAAAAAGAATTTAGTGACGAACTAAAAACTTAATCGCACCCGATTTTAATTTTGGAATGGTTAGAAAATGGTTAGATTGGAGGTGACTTTCTTATTATTTTCATTGGGATTCATATGGAAAAAATATTTCACCAACTCCAATGAAATATTTGATAGAAAAAAAGCAGTATTGCGTTTGCGTACAATTTTTAGAAATACAAAGTTCACAAACTGTTAAATTGTATTTGTATATCTTATAAGCAAAATTTTCAAATGCAGTAACCCGAGTTGTATGCGATACATTTAAGTGGTCTTATCAAAAGTTATTATTTAAGATTAACGAAACTTGTCAACTGAACGTTCGAAAAGATGTAACCAGGTTGAAATTAAAAGCATGTTGTATTTATCAAACTTACCACAAATCCACCGCAGTTCAAACCATTGTAGTTGTAGTTTTTCGGGGTGTTGAATCCATACGCCCACATCGCGGATCTCTGAGCCGGATTGACCATGCTTCCGTGTGCTTCAGCTTCATCAACGTATTGCGAAATCATAAACAGTGTTGACAAAATGTTTACAGCACAAACAATCGAACGTGCTTTAGCGGCCATGTTGATAGTGTGAATGGCGCTGACGTACCATCGTCTTACATTGGTGTCCAAACACTTTATCTTATAATTCAGGCGCGCAAGTGTCCGTCCAGCCCCGGGCGAAAGGTGACGGAGGAGTTATGGGGTCTCGAGGGACCCCATTTGTAATAGGCCACGAGACCAAATGATATAAACCACGGGAATACATTACAGTGCAGTCTCACCTTGGATGTATTATTCATACATCCTCACAGGTTTTATCGGAAAGTGTTGTTTGTAGCTGTTTAAAAATTATACACTTTCAAAGTGTTGACCTTACGTAAACACAACTTTACAGCCCTATTCGGTATGTGAAAACTATCGAGCTGTACAATTTTTCCCAAGCTTACCACAACATCTATTGAAAGAGACAAAGTCCACACAGGCCACTCGACTTTGAAAAAAGTAAAGTCATTTTCCTTGAAGGTATGTGATAAATTCATACTCCTGTCACCACAAGTTGCAAAACCGCTGTCATTATAGTGAACGACAGCAACGCCTTTTTGAAAGTATAAAGTTAGCTATGTCTGAAACAGTGATGAACATAGCTGCAAGTGTTTAACGCCCACGCTACTACAAAATTCAAAGGAATGAGAGCAGGACATATCAGCTTCTTGTTCTTCTCTTTGATTAGAATCAATGTTTCAGAACAGCTTTTTTTTATTGCCTTAAACACAATAATACTATGGAATATCCATTTTTTTGGTTTTATTACCTGTTCTTAATTTATGTAACATTTCGAGTCATCTAAATTAAAATAAAGATTTTTAATTATATAAATAAGATTGAAACGCAACACTATAAATAATGTTCTGCTGATACACTGATCAACTGTACCGCTGAGTATGGAGGGATTAAGAAAGCAAAAAGTTACAATAAGTGTAGACTATTCTGGTGTTATCATTGAATACGTCTTTTATGCAAACGTATACAGCATTGAAAGATAAACTTTACCTAACACCCGTGTGGTTACTGATCAATGGGTATAAGTTCACAATATTGTGTCACACCAAACTGCAGGAGTTAGCCATCGAGTGATTACATTACACCAAGTGTTAGATTTAGAGACTAAATTCCTACAGCTGGGTTTATTTTTGGAGAAGTCGAGTCTACTTTTAAATTGATCGAATTATAATTCAACGAATAAAAAATTGGATTTAATTGGACTTGGATTTAAAAAATCGTAACTAATACACATGTGTCTCATTATATCGCGGATTCAATTTTAGCGATCGCGTTAATGTATCGCGAAATAGTGAAAATACAACCCCTGTCTATAAGGAGCTTTCATATCGATCAATTGTCTCATCATACATTCGCTACTTCTTGTTTAAAACATATTTTGAAAATGTTTATGAACCATCATCTCTAAATATTTTTTCACCTGTTAGGAGAGCAGGTTTTGTAATATAGTGAAAAACAAAGCTTTGTAGTTTTACAAGTACAGTTTTTTTTAATTTAAAGCGACTATAATGTTAAAAACACTACGAGAAAGCGATATAAAACGTTCTGTTTTCCAATAGTATGTTACAAAACTAAAACTTTCTGTTAATTACTAAAATTAAAAGCCACTGCAACCATTTTTATTGATATCTAAAAAATAAAGAATGTAAACAGTGCGGTCTTGATCTAATTCATACATTAACGCTCGTAACCCTAATGCTGCGCAAGCGTATAAGCCTAGAAAGAAGCAATATGGCGGACGTAAATACGAAAAAGCGACGAGGACCTAAAAGTTACCTTACAGAAAGTACCAGAAAGCGTAAGAGGAAGGAGTCTGACCAGAAAAGAGGACAGGCAAGAATTTGTATTAGACAGGACATCGATAGATGGCGAAAGATGAAGGAGGATCTTGGACTGACTACGGATTCGGAATTTGCGAAGCTTACTGCTTGACTGGTTAGCTTAACGTTAAACCTATAATTATAACGTATCCGTTGTTATGAACAACACAACTTAAAGTGTTGTCAGAATGAAAATAGTTGTGTTATTAGCTTGAATTTACTATCGACATCGAGTGTTTGTTGTTGACTGCAAGGTGGGGCCCAATTGGGGAAATTCGTTCTAAGCGTAAAAATATGACGGTACTGGTGTTACTATAAGAATAACAACCGTGATGATAAACATAGCCTTCATAATAAACAAAGCAATATCTATTAATGTGTATAGACAAAGTATCAATTCCTGTGCGTTTCTGCACAATGCGATTTTATTCTTTTCCGATTGTAATTATCTCCATTTGGGGCCCCACTAGTTTAGCGCTCGCCATTGACATAGATAATTCTCGCACGACAAAGTCACAACAAAACGAATTACTAAGATTGATTGTTAAAGAAATATATCATAACACTATAGAATCATTAATGCAAACAAGAATTAGCAGAGAGGCGGGACAGTGGAAAAGGAAGTGTTATACATTGGGCATGTGCGTTTGTTTACCCCGTAATCCATTTTTTCTCTGCGGCGGAAGTAAATGACTTCGTCACGTGACAAGCCATGTGACCCACGGCTTTCTTCGTAATAAACCGAGTGTGAACATGTTTATAGACAATAGTCAAGATAAACATTGTTCAGATGCCGAAAATATGTACAAAAACAACAAATTTGACGTTATAGGCGCGTGTATCACTTTATCAAAGATATCTGTTATAATTCGTTGCTGAAATCTAAGGTAATAGCCGCTTTAAAATGAGAGTTTGGTGTCCTCGCTGTATGTAATACAAGTTGCTGAAGTATTGTTCATTCCTGTCTTCAATGCCAAATAAAAGGACTTGTGTAAGAATGTTAGCTGACCATGATAGAAAAAATCTATTTTTATATATAATACTATATGATAGTGATATTACGTTCTATATTCGTGTTTGAAATAATAAACTGTGGCGTTGTAATCATGTGTCATTAACAAAGTCCTTCTGATCGTCTTGATTCTCTGTAGATTTTACGAATCTTAGAAAATTGACCATTATCCATCTCAATCTCCAAAGTCTAAGACAGAAACAAAGCTAAAGCTTCATGTTCTTTCCGGCGATTTCGCTCTGATAATCTGATAACGCCGGACGCCTCTAAATCTGCAGCTGTATACGTCGTACAAAAATGGAATGAGCTATATCAGTTTGCTGAAGCGTACCAACTTGTATCCAAGATGGCGGGACTGGTATGCCTCCATTGCCTTCAAGTGCACTTCTCGTTAAAACTGGGACGCGTGAATTCGTCATTTGTTTGTTGAACTGTATGTATGTTATTTATACGCGACAAAGCTATTCAAGTGTGAATTTGAACCGATAAGGATTTTTTCTTATATACCATAATCGTTACGGAATCACTCCTTCTATAATCATATATGTATCTTGTGTCCATCATAATGATGAAAGATACAATATAGGCATAAAATTAAAATCACATAAAACTATAGATAATGCTAACGTGACTATTTCATAGGGTTTAAATAAGGGAGGTGCATTACATGGCCGTGTAAATGTTAGTTAGCTTCTACTTGCATCTATATACGGACTCTGCAGATACTGGAATAAGGGAGTGAAAGGTTGTTTGGAACACGGGTGTTATGTGTGTGATTCATAAAGTACTGGTCTAGGAATTTGAGGAAGGGCGAAAACTCTTTGCAGACTTGTAGTGATAAGCTGTCTTGAGGAACTCTTTTTTGAGGAGGAGAAATAGTATTTTAATAGGTTTTTGAAGATATACAGAGCACGTGGACCAAAACAAGAGTTGATTCAATCTGTTAATTTTATGTAATTCTGAGCTAAATTCCCCAAAACTCTGTATGGTGAAGAACCCTAACTTTGGGTCGTAAGTTTTTAAGTATGTAAGATGACTTTTAAATGTGATATATATGTGTTATTGGATTCTCGCTTCGCTGACATTCGCCGGGGCGGTTAATCCTTTCACGTTACCCGAGGATGAACACTGCTTAACCACGTGCAAAAGTTTCAACATTTTGATCATACAGGATATTTGCACATCATGTGTGTAGGCATCAATGATATTCCGATAACGACGCAGATTATTTCGAACAAAGCAAAAATACTGTGTTTGATACTATTGGTTAGACAATTTTGGAGATTGAACAACAAGTTTTCAAAACCCATATGCACACATTAATTTCGGCACCATTCTGAAGATTTGATACGTTCTATCTCTAAATCATACCTAAAACTCACACCTATATGTTATGAACATCAACGAGGGTTTGTGGCATTTGTTATGAAGTTGAACGGCTACATCTCACATTTCAACAAATCAGCGAACGAGAGTACACTTGGTCCTTTATACCGATCTACATACCACATGTCACGTGGTAGGATTTTAACATTCTCCTATTTCAAACTACATGATAGCCTTCACCCGAAACACAGTCTCCTGATTGTGTGACAGGATCAATTTTGTCTTGATTTCATAAACTAATCAATAAATAAATGAAATTATACACCCAGAGCCGACTGACTGTTTTGTTATTAGCCCGCTTCCTGAATAATCAATTAATACACAGTATTGCAAGTTACCTGTCGAAAGCCCACCAGCTGACACATTGACTAATTTCGTTCGTATGTACTATTGTGCTCATAACATTTCTATCGCGATCTAGTATTTATCACATTGCAGTAACTGGCCGAGATACAAGTATTTATCACCTTGCAGTAACTGATCGAGATCTAAATATTTATCACCTTGCAGTAACTGGCCGAGATCTAGTATTTATCACCTTGCAGTAACTGGCCGAGATCTAGTATTTATCACCTTGCAGTAACTGGTCGAGATCTAGTATTTATCACCTTGCAGTAACTGGCAGAGATCTAGTATTTATCATCTTGCAGTAACTGGCCGAGATATAGTATTTATCACCTTGCAGTAACTGGCAGAGATCTAAGTATGTATCACCTTGCAGTAACTGGCAGAGATCTAAGTATGTATCACCTTGCAATAACTGGCCGAGATCTAGTATTTATCACCTTGCAGTAACTGGC